ATTTTAGTCAAATTGATTTAAAATCTGCTTACCACCAAGTTCCAATATTAGAGAAAGAACGACCATTTACAGCGTTTGAAGCTTGCAGGAACTTATATCAATTTACTCGCATTCCGTTTGGCGTCACTAATGGAGTAGCAGCCTTTCAACGAACTTTAGAGTACGTCATACAAAAAGAGAAGCTAAAGGGGACGTATGCTTATTTAGATGACGTTACAGTTTGTGGGAAAACAAAAGAAGATCATGATGAGAACTTATCAAAATTCATGGAAACGGTTGCTAAATATAATCTAACTCTTAATAAAGATAAGTGTACTTTTGCAAGTGAAACTATTAATCTATTAGGATATACAATTAGTAATAACATAATTACACCAGACAAAAGTCGTCTAAAGCCATTAATGGATTTACCTTTACCTAATAATACTGCTTCCTTAAAGAGAGCACTTGGAATGTTTGCTCATTACTCAAAATGGGTGCCTAACTTTTCAGCTAAAATTCAACCACTCGTACGAGCAAAATTACCACTCAATACGGAGCTAAGTGACAGTTTTCAACAACTTAAAAGAGATATCGCTAAGGCAGCATTGATAAGTATAAACGAAACTGATCTCTTAACGATAGAAACCGATGCATCAGAATACGCTATTGCTGGAACCTTGTCTCAAAATGAAAGGCCAGTGGCATTTTTTTCACGATCATTAAATGACGCCGAGAAAAAGCATTCTTCTATTGAAAAATAAGCCTATGCTATCGTTGAGTCTTTACGAAAATGGCGTCATTTTCTAGTTGGCAGACATTTTTTACTAGTGACAGATCAAAGATCAGTATCTTTTATGTTAAATCAGAGACATAACAGCAAGATCAAAAATGAGAAAATTGAAAGATGGCGGCTAGAATTGTCTTGCTTTAAGTATGATATAGTATATCGGCCGGGCAAAGAAAACGTTTCCGCCGATACATTGTCTAGAGTTTGCGCTAGCCTTAGTACTAACAAGTTATATGACTTACATAAATTATTGTGCCATCCTGGGGCTCTATTTTTGAATCATTCGTCTCGCGTCGAGCGCTCGTTTTCTACTGATTTTCGTTCGACTTAACAAATTCGCCATTTCTAAATCGCTCGACTGCAACGAGTGGTATGAACCACTCGTCGCTTAGCGAACGTTGTATGCGAGTGATAGAAGAAAACGAGCGCTCGACGCGAGACGAATGATTCAAAAATAGAGCCCCAGGTGTGGTAAGAATGTGGCATTGAATTAGAACAAAGAATTTACCATACTCGATTAATGACGTAAAATCTATTACGGCGTCATGTCCTATATGTGCAGAAATTAAGCCGCGATATAATAATGCACATAGTCATTTAATTAAAGCTACAGAGCCTTTTCAACGTCTCAGCATTGATTTTAAGGGTCCTTTGCCCACGATTTCTCGTAACAAATATATACTCACAATAATTGACGAATATTCAAGATTTCCGTTTGCCTATCCATGTCCTGATTTATCTTCACAATCTGTCATTAAATGTCTTAAAGATTTATTCCTTACTTTTGGAGCACCCGCTTATATTCATTCAGATAGAGGAACGGCCCTTGCATCGGATGAAATGAAACAATTTCTAACAACCTATGGTGTTGCCTCAAGCCGTACTACTCCATACAATCCTCAGGGAAACGGACAGGTGGAACGCTTGAATGGGACGCTTTGGAAAACTATTCAACTCAGTCTTAAGTCAAATGGTTTAGATAGTTCATGTTGGGAACAAGTATTAAACGTCGCCTTGCATTCTATACGATCACTCCTGTGCACAGCTACCAATGAAACACCACATGAGCGTCTATTTCGCCATACACGTCGATCACCGACAGGGGATACTATACCTTCATGGTTATTGATTCCCGGTCCAGTACTAATGAAAAAGAACGTTAGAACATCAAAATTTGATCCTGCCGTAGAAGAAGTAGAATTACTTCATGGAAATCCTCATTATTCACATGTTCGCTTGTCTGATGGACGTGAAACCACGGTTTCAAATAGACAATTAGCCCAACTACCGACAGAGGACTACGATTCTGATGAGGAAGTCGATGCTGCAGATGTACCTGTTGTTACAGGTGATATATCAGATAGTTTTCCTAGAGAGACTGACGCTACTGCCTCTCCATCTGGCACTCAAGAAGAAGGTACCGAGGTTTTGCGTCGGTCGTCACGAGATAAGAAGATGCCTGAATATCTTAAGGATTTTGTTAGAAACTAAATAACATGGGAGGGGTGAATGTAGTATTAATATGTTGTCTATTGTTCATTTGACTTTGTCAATATGAATTCAGTATATGTCTAATGTAACTAATATTTTTATGTTGATTAAAGCCAATATTCTAATGATAAATTGGTTATTTCTATCATGGAATATGTATATTTTTACTTCAATGTTACAGGAAATAGCTTAGATAACAGGCCTTAAAGTAGGGGCTCGCTACGTCACAGTTTTGTAGAAAATGTATGAGCATGACGTCATGTGACATTATAACCATAGAGTATCTTTATAACTGATTATAACTTAATATATCGCCATAATGAGGAAGTATTTAAAAAAAACGAGAGTACTAAAAAGCACCTCCACTAGATGGCGATCCTAGCAAAAGTCGATTTTTGCAGGAAACGAATGGACAAAAGACAGTCATTTCCGATCCTTTTAATTAACATATCGACGCTAAAGAACCAAGATCATCTATCTGCAAAAAGTCGACTTTACAGGAGACGAAAAAAACGTTTGATATTTTTTCTACTAAGAGTTTTTTATTTTTATATCTGATTAATTAATGGACAGGCATGGGAAATAAGATTAAATGTGTGGTAATATATATATTCATCACGGTCAGCTTTCCGGGACTCCAACATAAAACATACCTTTGTTTTTTACAAAAATATTAGGTCCTTACATATGGAATTGGCGTTTTATCGTATTGGCCCCTTTAATCACAAATTTCTCCTCCTTGGTTGGGAATTCCAAATTCAAATTTATACAGGCATTTACACATGTATTTGTGTTTCGTTAGGCGCCATTCATTTGTTTTTTTTCTTCTGTTTGTCCTATTTACGTTACCCCAATATAAAAAATGGAAAACTTAAAATATCGCGTTATTTACGAGTACAAGCCCCGTGGACAGCCGGAGACCCAAGTCAATAATAAAGAATTGAAGGCTATTGTGGAAGCAGATCCATCTGGCCAGACGATTGCAGCAGACGTCTATTGTCAGGAATTGCAAACCATGCTGGAAAAACAAGCTTTTAAACAACCGAGGCCGGGCAATCGCTCTACGCCACTGCTACTTCACGACAACGCTAGACCACACACTGCACAACAGACGGCTACCAAATTAGAAGACATCCACCGTACTCCCCGGATCTTGCTCCAACAGATTACCATTTTTTTCGTTTGGATAACTTCTTGCAAGGGAAAGAATTTAACTCCTGTGGGGCAGTGCATATCGCCTTCAAAGATTTTATTGGTTACCATCAGAATGGTTTTGTTAGCAACGGGATCAATGAACTACCTTTGAGATGGCAAAAGTGTATAGATAACAACGGTTTATAGTGTAAAGTATAAACTTTATACTTTGATTAGATAAATATATTATATTAAAAAACATTCGACTTTTTGTTCCTCCAATACCAAACATTAATTTCATATGTAATATTTCATAGATTCTGGTAAATATATTATAAATTTTCTTTATAGAACCGAATTAAGTGGGTTTCCAAAATACAATAATTCCATTTCAAGGTAAACCAGAAGTAAGAAAATATGCAAGTATGTCTGTAAACCCTTAAGTAAAAGTTGAAACATATTTACAAGTTTCATATACGAAACCTATGTCATGATACTGTTAATGTGAATTAAGAACTTATAGTTTTATGTTATTATTTTATTTCATATTAGTAATTACCAGTGGTCGGAATTAGGTAGAGTTATTCATGTACTTACACTGATTTCATACAGCGAAAGAACAAAGTGGATATGCCTCAAATCCCGAGATAAATTTTAAAGAGCAGAAAAAACCCGTGATTTTTTAAATAAAAAATATTTACTTTTACACAATTTAAACTACTGCACGCACGACATTGCCAAACTTACATCAATGAAAGAAAGAAATAAAGAAATCCCGGGAAGGTCCACATTAATATCAAAATTTCGATGCAAGAATATAAATAACTCTACCTAATTCCGACCTCTGGTAATTACATAACAATTATATTCCAGAAGGACCGCGGTCCCCGGGCTAACAACACCTAGCTCGGAGGGAGACAAATATTCTTTAGTCTCCCTGGTCAGTTGTCTCCATCACCACAGTAGGGACCCACACATTCAACCTTATGGTTCCTAAAGTTGCTGTAGTGGACTTTATATTCCAGAAATAACTATAATGGCATGGATAGATTGATGCCGATGGCTCAGTAGTTGGCATGTTCGTTCTACAATGCATAATTTAAACAATAGTGTATTCTACTCTATTTGAAATAATACTTGTAAATGTTTATGTTAATTAAAAAAAAGTTTTGTTTCAAGTCACGTGGCACGCAGACAATAAATAGGTAGTGACTTTTAATTTTAAGATACTATTACGATAAGTGTTTTTTTTTTTTTTATTGAACTTAATCGATATTTTGATTAATCGATGCCAAATAATCGTCTTTACTGCATCCCTGCCTGCCGGTACATGTTTTCACGTTTGTTTGTGTTTGACGTTTCTTTCATTAATTTTTTTATTTGATCGGAAGAGTGGTGTTTTTCGGACAGAAAATATGAAACTTATTATTAACTCTTCATTTCAACCCAATTCCTGATTCTGTTTGGTAAACCATGTACAATTAAGAATGGAAAAGAAAAGTACAATTAGTTAGTAGTGGCGGTATTCCTGGACTTATTAATTGTATTTCTGTAGTAGGTAGGCAAGTCCTATAGTTTTTGAAGTGTGAAATAAAATCCACATAAAATGATGACGACCATGGCTGCTGGTGGGCCGGGTGATCCTCATACACAAATGAACACTTACCGCAGTTACGTGACTATGCTAGCGGATCCTGGTGCTAAAGATGAGATTAAGTTGAAGGCTGCTCAGGAACTCTCAGAGAATTTTGAAGTACGTATTATCTAGTAACCGGTGTATGAATGTAGGATCTTCAGGAATATGATATTTATTTGAAGGCATTTTTTGCTGAAAGTGATGAAAATAATAGGAAAATAGGAACAGTTTGTTGTGAACTAATGGGTTTGATGTGAAAATATAGTCATAAAGACTTTTATTAGTTTTAAGTTCAATGTCCTATTTATATAATCTTACATAAATAAACCATTATAAAAGACATTTGTATAAGGGCACTGCTTATGAAGATCAATATTGAGCAGATTTAATTATTATTTAGCCTATTTAGACAACAGCCACTAATGGTAGTGGCTGTTGTCAGTCCATGATTTGTGGCTTATTAATAGACTAGCCTTTCATATGTGGCTTTGCCAACATGTTGTTCAAGATTTTTAAATCTGCTTTTAATTTCTAAAATTCTTAGTTATTTTCTATCTTGTGTAAAAAGAAAGTATATCAAATTGAAATCTGATTCATCTACTAGTTTTAGTGCATTGATACTTTGCTTTTAATAGATTTTAATAAACGAAATGTGAAAATTTTATTATTAGTGATTTTTTTTTGTAATATGCATGGCAAAAGAAACTCAATGCCACCTGGGTTAGTACAGTTGGTTTGTGAAGCCCTCATATGGGTGACCAAGATATGAAATCTTGATCTCCTTTTGCTTCAGAAGGCATATTAATTGATCCTTGTTGAATCTGTAATTATTGCCATCCATTAATCTGCACTGGGCTTGTATGTTATTATTACTTCTGTATTATCTCTATATTTATTTTAACATTTTTAAGAACTTAAAAATATCAAAACATATAAATTACAAAAAAAAAAGAATGCAACCATAACCATTGAATTTGATAACTAAAATTGTGGTATATTTTTTTGTTTTAGTTACAATTTTTTGGCTAATGCTTTTTGATCATTCATTATCATTTAGTTTTACCTTATAGTGTGTACTGTTAATTATTAATTTCAGGTGATCTTGAGTTCTCCGCAGTACCCTCAATTTCTTGACCATTCATTGAAAATATTTCTGAAAATACTTCAAGAAGGCGAACCTCACTTTATTGCTGAATATAACATACAGCAAGTAAGAAAACTGATATTGGAAATGATTCATCGTTTACCAATCAATGAGACATTGAGGTCATATGTCAAAAGTATTCTTATTCTTATGCTGAAATTGATGGAAATTGAAAATGAAGAAAATGTTCTTGTGTGTCTTAAAATTTTCATGGAGCTTCACAAGCAGTACCGTCCAGCCTACAGTACAGAAGTTGATGTAAATATTACAGTTCTTATTAATACATGTTACTTATTAGTTTCGATTTTGAAAAGATTAACATAATTTACTTTTAATTTCAGATTCACAAATTTCTACAATGGGTTAAAGGTATTTATTCAGACTTGCCCAACCATTTGCCAAAAATTTTTGAACCAAAACCTACAATTCGAGTGAAAGATTTGTCGGAAGTAAACATTGAACAGCTACTTCAAGAAACTTACACAACTACACCAATACATACTGAAAAGAAATTACTAGATGGAAGTGTAGTCACTGTAAGTCTACTTTAAATTCCAAATTATACATAAATTATAAGTTTTTTAAATATAAAAAAACTTACATTCTTATTTTTCAGTACAATCTCATTCCTAGATCAGTTTTATCTCTTAAAGTAATTCAAGAGTTACCAATTATAGTTGTTCTCATGTATCAATTATATAAACAAAATGTTCACCAAGAGGTTAGCAATTTCATACCTCTTATTATGGAAACTATAACTCTACAGCCAGCTGCTACACATAGGTATGTAGTTATTCTATAATTATAGATTCTCTAGTAAAAGTTTTTTGCAATCACTTATACAGGAAAAATTGTAGTCGCACACAAAGAATAATATTGAGTTTGTTAAACATAAGTATAGTAAGATATCATTATCCTACTGTACACAAAGGTTTAATTAACGCTATTAAAATAATCATAAAATGAAAATGTTAATAAATACCAAAATGCATGTATGTAAATATGTTCTATTGGAAATACTAAACCAAAGGGAAAAAATTGATAACGATTAACGGTATTGATAAAAAAAATTTCATGTAGAATCTTGGGCATCTGGAACTAGTGCATTTTTTAGGATTTTTTTCAACAAGATATATAGGTAGATATAATTGATGTAATTTGCTTTGTTTATTTTTACAACTTCCAGTCTAGTGTGTGTTTACTTCTATATTTATTAAATAATCACATAGTATACATTTATGTTTTAGGCAATCTGCTTCATTCAACAAGGAAGTCTTTGTAGATTTTATGGGCGCACAAATTAAAACATTAGCTTTTTTAGCATATATAATACGGATATACCAAGATACTATAGCAAATCATGCTAATTTAATGGTGAAAGGGATCATTGGTTTATTGACATTGTGTCCTCCAGAAGTAGCTCACTTAAGAAAAGAGTTGGTGATAGCGACACGCCATATTTTGGCCACCGATTTGAGACTTAGTAAGTATATAGATAAACATAGCATAAAACAAAGTCTCTTCTTGCTATCTGTACTATGAAATTTTTTATACTACACAACAGATAGTCTGACTCAAGAGCTGGACACGTAGCTGGTGGAAAGCTAGTATGATATTTAATCACTATTATATATATTTTAATGTGAATTGTATTATAATGATTAACATTTTTTTTGCAATTGTATTCAAATATAGGATTATAATAAAATAAAAACATAGTTCAATGTCATTCAAATAATAAAAAATAATATCAATCTAACACATAATATTTATTTTAATTGAAGGGTATTTTAGTCCAAATTAAAGGTTCTTATGATTTTATATAAATTATTCTACAGAATTTGTTCCTTATATGGAGCGACTATTTGATGAAGATGTCTTATTGGGTGGAGGATGGACAGTGCATGAAACCCTTAGACCACTTGCATATTCGACATTAGCTGATCTGGTGCACCATGTGCGTCAACATCTGCCGTTATCAGACTTGGCTATTGCGGCACATTTATTCTCCAAAAATGTTCATGATGAATCTCTTCCAACAAGGTATGCCATTTCTATAAAACTTATTAAATGGACATCATTAACAGACATTAATGATTAATGAATTTTTAATAGCTCTGTGTCATTATTGTAACTTGTTTGATTGTATTCACTAAAAATAAGCTAACATATTTCAATTTAACATTTTCTCTTCCATCATTGTCCATTTATATTGCAGCCAATCGTTTTAATCAAACTTAACAAAGTTTAGTCTTCAGCTAATAATAACACTGCCTATGTGCCGGCTTATTTTATGCTTGATATTATAACCTTACTTTTTCATTTTATTTTATTCTTTATTTATACCTCATCTAAAGTCGAATGGAAAACCACAACAATAGTTATTTAAGATACGAGTGCAGAAAGTAAGGTTTTACGAATAAGGGCCAAATTGAAAACACAAGTGTAGTGAGGATTATCAGTGGCACGAATTCGAAAAACCTTTTACGCTCAAGTTTTTTACAGCATTTTTCAATGCTTTTTGCGAGGAAATAAAACAAATATATAGGTTAATAAAACTCAGTATGTATTAAAGGTAAAATTATTTGTTAAAATTAAACGTGATATTTGAACATGTTTTCGTGTCATACATTTTAATTTGAAAATATTCGTTCTAGGCTCTTTGAAATACTTTTGCCTCTAAAGTTTGACATATTATCATATTTTGTTTTTTAATTTCTTTGGTGCTCGGACAAAAAAAATAAAAAAATACTTTTAAGTATGTGTGCAGTAAAGGATTTCAGTACATTTTTATTTAACACGTGTTTAAAGATTGACTTTCGGTGTTTTCAATGGATTAAAAGCGCTTTATGAGCAACTACATTGAAAATTTTTTTTTAAGTATTTTTCTCAAATATACATAGTAAATTTTTGTGTAAAAAAATAATATACACAAAAATGAGAATGCATTGTTCAAATATAAAACCTAATGTAACAACTAATTATTTTTTTAACATATAGCATTCAGACGATGTCATGTAAGTTGCTGTTGAATCTCGTGGACTGCATCCGTCAAAGGTCGGAGAGTGAGGGTGCCACTGCCGGCGCCCAGCCTCAGGGTCGTCTACTGCTAATGCGCATTCTTGAAGTATTTGTTCTTAAGTTCAAGACTATCTCCAAGCTTCAGTTACCAGCACTCATGGCCAAGTGGTAATAAAACATTTTTTAAATATACTATATGTAAGCTGGATACTTCTGTCTTGTAACATGAGGCACTGTGATTCTTGATTGTGCAGAACAAATTACAAATTCCGATCATGACCATACTATTAAAATTTATAGTGAGTCTTGTTTCAATAGTCATAAGGTGTAAAATGCAGCGCATTAGGTGTCTGACACGCGTTTTCAGTGGGGGTTAGGTGTGTGGATGCCGGTGGATCGCCCGATAGCGTGATTTTTGAATCATTCTGATTATCCGTCATTTGCCGCGCTTTGAAACTTAGCTTTCTCAGTGGTACATCAGTGAGACCATCAGAAGCATCTTACTGTACATGCATATTAAAAAAAAGAAAAACGAAAACGACCATACATTTTGAACATTATTAAGCACTATAACTTGTATAGAATAGTTTGACACTCAGTTAACGTGTCAGACACATAGTACATAGTGCGTACAGTTTTCTTCATATATTCTTAGAAACACTTAAATTATTTGCATTTTTTAGCAAACAGAATGTGCCGCCTGTAGCAACTACAACAGCGGTAACAACACCTAGTACACCAACTACGCCAGCACCTAACACACCTGCTGTGGAAGTTAAAATGGAGGAAGAAAAACCCACGCCAGATTTTTTAGATAGCATATCTAAGCCAGAAGAGAAATCCAAGATAGGCTTCCCTTCGTCTCAAATGAACAATTTGAATGTGGGAGATTATAGAACACTGGTTAAGACGTTAGTCTGTGGGGTGAAAACTATTACATGGGGATGTGCATCTTGTAAGGTAAGTGAACCATAAATTAAAAGCTTGATTAAAAACATAACATTTTCTTGATGCATTTGACATATGTATATTACATGATTGTTACCATCAAATGAGGGTACAGGCACAATATTAATACAAGAAATAAAAATAAATTAACGGTGCCTGTCACTAAGACTGCACAAGTTAATAATTCAATCAGGGGTCTTTGTGTGCGCTTCTACAATAAACTTAAAAAAATACCTTTTACAAAACCTAATTACTAGGTATCTGATTATATAACAGATAAGAATGCTTGGAATTAAGATCTTCTAAAAGTAAAATTAAGATGTTATAAACTTATTATATCTCAAAAATTATCTTGTTGCCATTATTATGTTATCATTATAAGATGAGATATTTTTCTCTCTATTTATAATGTTTTGTTGTTTTTGTGAATGTCATTACTCCTATTAGAGCTGGTGAGTTTCTTGCTTGTTCTACTTATTAGCCAAAAGACTTCCTGAACGAGTGATAGGGAAAGATATGTTGGACGATTCAAAAGTACTTTTAAGAAGTCTATTTGATTAATGATTATTTTGACTTTGACTTTGATACTTTGTTTTGATTATCTGTTCTTTATGCAACATACACAAAACACTAGTCAAGCTATATTTACATTTTCTTTTGTGTGTCATGTTATTTATTGACAACTTGATCTATTAGTCATTATACATTATTGTGAATATAGGAAGACTCATGGAAGATCGTATCGGGTTAGAGCCGAGAGGCTGATGTGGTATGGTGTCTGTATTACATAGCTATGTTTTATTTATGGCAATCTTGTGACCACCGATGAAAATGTACTACAGCTAGCTTCGTTTAGGAACCGAGACAATCTAGAATGAGTCCTCTTTTAATCTATATTAGTTAATTTAGTCAACTACTTAAATTTAATTCATTAATATTTGGTTGTCAGACTGCAACCAATACCGAAGGTGCTCAGAGTGCTGCGATCGCCAGTCAAAAGCAGTTTTCATCTCGCGAGACTCTCGTATTCATAAGATTGGTACGATGGGGTCTACAGTCACTTGATATATATACGTTGGCCGCCCCGCGAGCCCCCGCCACACCACCAGCTCAACCACATGTTCGTTCTAAAGAAGAGAAGGAAGTGTTGGAACATTTCAGCGGTGTAGTAAGTTTAAAATTGTACTAAGACATAGAGCTTTATTCAATAACAGAGATTTTTTTATATACATGTATGGGAAATGCAGTTTTTGTGTTCTTAAAAAATGTGACTGGTCTTATTTTCAGTTTTCAATGATGAATCCTCAAACGTTCCAAGAAATCTTCACTGCGACAATCTCCCATATGGTGGAGAGAATAAACAAAAATATGACATTACAAATTATTGCTAACACGTTTTTATCAAATCCAGCTACGTCGCCGATATTCGCGACGGTGTTAGTTGAATATTTATTAAAAAGAATGGAAGAAATGGGATCAAACGTCGAGCGCTCCAATTTATATTTGAGGCTCTTTAAGTTGGTTTTCGGTTCGGTTAGTCTGTTTCCTACTGACAATGAGCAAATGTTACGCCCTCATCTCCATAACATAGTAAACAAAGCAATGGACTATGCTATGACGGCTAAGGAGCCGTACAATTACTTCCTCCTTTTGAGAGCATTGTTCCGCTCGATAGGTGGAGGCAGTCATGATTTATTGTATCAAGAATTCTTACCACTTTTGCCTAATCTATTGGAGGGATTAAATCGACTGCAAAGTGGTCTCCATAAACAGCATATGAAAGATCTGTTTGTTGAATTATGTTTAACTGTACCCGTGCGGCTAAGTAGTTTATTGCCTTATTTGCCTATGTTGATGGATCCATTAGTATCGGCTCTGAACGGCTCTCACACATTAATATCCCAAGGCTTACGTACGCTAGAGCTTTGCGTGGATAACCTTCAACCAGATTTTTTGTATGAACATATTCAACCAGTGAGAGCGGACTTGATGCAGGCGCTCTGGAGAACTTTACAAAACAACGAGGTCGCAAGGATAGCATTCAGAGTTTTAGGGAAGTTCGGTGGTGGCAATCGTAAAATGATGATCGAACCACAGAGGTTAGAGTACCGCGAGACGGACGCGCCGCCACCGGCTGTACAAGCGTATTTCCAAGACCAATCGAAACCTGTAGACTTTGAAGTAGATAAAGTAATAGAAACAGCCTTTTCCGCATTGAAATCGAGCACGACGGACCCTTTTTATAGAAAGCAGTGCTGGGAAGTGCTCAGGTGCTATTTAGCATCTTCCTTGAATTTAGACGATGATAGACAAACTCTTATGAAATTATTTAACCATCCCAGCTTCATAGAAGGTAAAATTCAAACACAGAGTGGTCCGTACTACAAATGCTCTAATAGTATAGTTAGAAACACACATTGCACGGCTCTGACGGGAATGTTCGTCGCTGCGGCAATCAAAGAGTTGCGTCATCACGTGCTACCGACCATGGTGTCTCTGGTGCGTCATTACACGATGGTGGCGATAGCACAAGAGGCTGGGCCTTTTTCAAATACTGGGGGCCCTAAAGAAGGTTTGGACGCGTTGGTTTTAGTGGACGCTATTGCTGTGGTGATGGGTCACGAAGAAAAAGAATTATGTAAACCTGGTCACCTAGCCCTTGTACTAATGATAGAGACTGCGGCGACAGTTCTCGGCAGCAAGGAGCGCGCTTGCCGTCTACCTCTGATGGAATATTTAGCCGAGCGAATGTCGGCCCTATGTTACGAAAGAGCTTGGTACGCAAAACTGGGTGGTTGTATCACTGTTAAATTCATGGTTGAGAAAATGGCACCCGAGTGGGTATACAAGCATATATTTACATTTTTGAAAGCAGTGCTGTTTGTGATGATGGATCTGACTGGTGAAGTATCCTCGGGTGCGATTGATATGGCCACCGTGAACTTGGAGCGATTAGTTCGTGTCTGTGTGACGGGTCCCGCTACTCCGTCTTCTGAGCCTCCTGACCCTGAAGTCGCGGCCGCGAAAGCTCGCGCCTTACATGATGTGCTGCAAGAACTTGTTCTTCAAGTAACTAGTCCGCATCTTCTTGTACGACAACAGGTGTGTATATCCACATAAGCATATTTTATTTTGCATCTATTACAATATTTACGTATCTAAGTGAAAGATTGCACACGCGACTTCAACTCGTACCTTGATTAAGGGTTTATCTTCATTTTAGGCAATGAAATCACTGGAGTTGATAGCAGAATTACAGAATAAGACAGTTACTGACGTGATGGACCCGCACAGAGAGGTGTTAGCAGATATCATTCCCCCTAAGAAGCATTTGCTTCGTCATCAACCAGCCAATGCTCAGATGGGCCTTATGGATGGAACTACATTCTGCACGACGTTGAAACCTCGACTATTTACAATTGGTATTTTATTTTGACAGTATAATTTGGACATTTTGAAATAATGACATCATCAGAGATAAACTGAACTAAAAATATTTTCCACAGATTTGTCAATAAATGAACATAAAGTTTTCTTCCGTGAGTTGCTTTCTCTGTGCGAGGCGGAAGACGCCATGTTAGGCAAGCTGCCATGTTACAAGGGCGTTAACCTAGTGCCACTACGAGCGTCGGCACTTAAAGCATTGGCCGCCTGTCACTACATACAAGAGAAGCACTGTAGGGAGAAAATCTTCCAAGTCCTGTACAAATCTCTAGAAAAAAACGACCAGGAGCTGCAGCAAGTTCGTATAAACAAGACAATTTTCAGTTTTAAATTTTATTTCACCATACAATGTTTTCAGATTTAATTATGTACTTATTAATTTCAGGCTGGTTTCGAATGCATGCAGAAGTTCCTCTCTGGCTTCCAAATTGATATGGAGATGGTACATCCGGTGATGAGGCCTCTTCTGCTCACTCTCGGCGACCACCGTAACCTAAGCGTAAACGGTGCAAAGCGGCTTTCGTACTTAACGCAGCTGTTTCCTTCAACGTTCAGCGAGAAATTGTGTGAACAGTTGTTGCAGTTGCTTAAAAAACTTCTTGATTATTCTATTCAGACTAATCGAGGTCAGTTTTACAATTCAAATTTTTTAAATGAAGTCATCTTTCTTGACCAAATTTTAATCATTTGTAATATCTTGGTGGCAGGTGGAAACTTCCTTCAGAGTGTATCAAAGAACATGGAGAATGAGCAGAAGATCATCATCCTGATTGGCATATTTCACCAGATACCAGCTGCATCACCGCGATTCATCGATGTGCTGTGCCGGTTGATCTTCCACACTGAAAAGTCGCTTATGATCGAAGCAGGGTCGCCTTTCAGGGAACCGCTCGTCAAATTTCTGTTGAGGTTTGTATTGATGAGAATATAGTAAGACAAACAGTGAAGTACATATATCTTTCTGTTGCCTAAAGTTATTTCATTACTGTTCAATGTTGTGTTTTAAATTCCTTTATTTATGATTTGTGTTTTTAATTTGCTGTTATCACTGTACATTTGTCATTTAGTTTTATTTTTAGGTTGTAATATTTTTTTCCATATTTCTTGTGTTAGTTCTTTGTCACGAACCAAAGTGATAGATGTCACTGCCTGTGTCATGGCGAATTGTTACATAATCACAATAAAATAAAAATCATACCCTTTGAGTATGATTAAAAAGAAAGGGATATTTTTCTTCACAGGTATCCTAAGGAGACTCTTGATCTAATTCTGAGCGACAACAATATAAAAGATCAGCAATGGAGCCGTTTCCTCGTGTTCCTCGTGAAACACCCAGACGCGGGGGCGGTATACCGCGAGGCGCTGCAAACTGCTAAGAAGCCGCGGCTCATGCAGCTGCTGGCTACGGTCGCGGGGGCGCAGCCCGACCGGACTGAGATGCAGTTCCAGGCCATCAGGGTTATCTCCCTTCTCATCAAGTACGATGACCAATGGTTGTCGACCCAACACGACCTAATTGAATTGCTCAAGCGGATTTGGTGTAGCGATCAGTATCATGTGAGTGATAATAGGCTAGGAAAATAAGGTTTCCGTTATATGTTAGGAAAATATGAACTATTTTAGCTTATAAATATTTAATAAAATTATTTTTTTGCCATTAATTTGAAAAATATTACGCTTTGAAAACTTGAATAAAGTAGGGAAATATATTACCAAAATTTGCTAAAATATGTATGGCATTAAATTAATTACATAAAACCTAACAACTTTCATTATGACAGCTATAAATATAAACGCACAAATAACAAAGATATTACACAAATTGCCCAGACGCCCATACGTTTGTCGCTACTTTAGCACCACCACCGATGTCACTTCGTGTCTTGAATTTGGAAGGAATGTTTAGCAGCAGCAATTCAACAAACATAGCACCATATCTCAGGAACTATTAATCATAGTAGTAGACAAGCTGTTATTTCTGCGTTATTTCTCCGATATTAATAGAATATTTATTTATAAAATAAAAGTTGTCAACTTACCTATTATTTGCATTTTCATTTGCTTGCATTTTCTTTTGATAATTATTATATTGTGACTTTGTTTACTCCAACATGCTATGATATTGTTTCAGGAAAGCCACAAGAAAGTGGAAAATGTGGATTGCACTCACTGGAAAGAACCAAAATTAATTGTGAAGATACTATTGCATTATTTTACTCATCATCCATCCAACATAGACTTATTGTTCCAAATGCTGCGAGCATTGTGTGACAGGTTCATTCCAGACTTTCAAGTAACTATTCTTTAATATTATATGAAATGGAGATTTGAGGTTTTATGTGTGATGTAATAAATTTTTTCTTTATCTTTTTTTAGTTTTTACGAGATTTCTTGGAAAATACCGTCGCCCAAAATTATACCGTAGAATGGAAACGATCCGCGTTCTTCCGCTTTGTGGAACATTTTGCTAGTGATGCCATGTCTCAAGACCTAAAAGCTAAGGTTCTCCAAATGATCTTGATACCGTGCTTCGCCGTCAGCTTCGAGAAAGGGCAGAAGATTGTTGGTGGCCCCCCAGCGCCGTATCAAGACAATCCCGATAACGTTGTGTCCGTTTTTATTAACAATGTGAGTTTTTAAATACTTTATAAACAATCACTGAAATATTTATCATGTTTCCCTTAAATAATATTCCTAATGCATTTAATCATGTTACTTTTTATCTCTATGTTTGCAGTTGTGATTTGTACATTTAGTATTACATAAATTTATTATTTTATTCTTTTAAACAACGTATTAATACTAAATTTTATAAAATTTAGGTGATTGATCCCGAGAACCCATTTGCATGTTCGGACGCAGTACGCATATCTCTGCTGCAGTTTGCTTGCCTGCTACTCGAGCAGGCGTCCGCGCATATCCACGATGCAAATAATAAGAAACAGGGCAACAAGTTACGTAGACTCATGACCTTTGCTTGGCCATGTTTGCTCGGCAAGAACTATGTTGACCCTGCTACGAGGTAATAAAGTATAAAATTGATAATTTTTTTTAAATTGTGAACTAAGTTTTCTTTTTTAAACTATTTTATGGGTTTCAGATATCACGGGCACTTACTACTTAGTCACATTATAGCAAAGTTCGCGATACATAAGAGGATAGTTTTACAAGGTTAGTTTCATTTTAAGTATCAACTAAGACTAACATAACTAAGGGGTAAATTGTTTCCAATTTTCCTTCACAAAAGTAACCGGGTTCTAGACTCTAGTAAAATATGGTTTCTTACCAAGAAATACAGGCAGTAGGGCTGTAAATCTGTGACATGCAGTAGCCCAGTAATGCTTTTAGTCTCTTTTGTCAGCATTCACTTAACACTTAATAATAGACTCGGGCATTTTTTTCGCTTTCGGATCTGTAGATTAATATGGTTTTGCTTGAAAATCTATAAGCCTTAGGTAGACAATAAATATCATATATGACTATAAACAAATACCGTCGTATATCAATGAGACGACGCTATAATATTATGTGTGCGTTAACTTTTCGAGTATAAAAATCGATCAATAAATTTTCCTTCTTTCCTTGTCACAGAGTTTTTCTCGTAATTTTCTCATGACTCGTGTAAAGATCGCCCACCTGTGATATTGTTTTATAACTTTAAATTTGAATAAGGTTTACATTTGTATGCGCAGTATTCCACAGTCTATTGAAGGCTCATGCGGTGGAAGCGCGCTCTGTGGTACGTCAGGCGTTGGAGATCCTGACGCCCGCGATGCCGCAGCGCATGGAGGACGGTAACACTATGCTCACTCATTGGACAAAGAAAATCATTGTAGAAGATGGACACTCTGTGCAACAGCTGTTTCACATCTTACAACTTGTCGTCAGACATTACAAGGTTTTTTTTTATTCTATTGTAAATGTTACAGTAATTCAGGTCAAGATGCCCTAAGTTATGTAAAGAAATAATATTAATCATATTTTTGTTTCTTTTTTATTAGATTGTTTTCATACATCATTTTGACTTTGAAAAATTTATACAGAAAAATATTGTGTTTCCTAGTAAATTGCAAAGGTGTTGAAAGTTTGTTAGTGTCAACAATAGGTGTATTTACCCTATATGGTACGATAACTGGTGGTAAATCAATTTAGTAGTAGCGATATGCAAATCATTGCAATTATATCTAACCAGGACCGGTTATATATTTATGAAGAGTAAAGGATATACCACCATATCGCGCGTAAAGTTGATCTCAACAAACTGCAATGTTAATGCAGGTTTACTACCCGGTGCGGCATGCGTTAGTCGGTCACATGGTAGCGGCGATGCAACGACTTGGCTTCTCCGCCACCGCGTCACCGGAGCACCGCAGGCTAGCCGTAGACCTCGCGGAAGTCGCGCTCAAGTGGGAGTTGCAGAGGATACGCGATCATACGCACGATGATACTGTGGTAAGTACCATCGTCAACATCTTGGGGACCTATTTATCCTATTGCAAAAGCGCGGTATAGCATTACAATGAAAATGTTGTTTGATGCAAGTAGAATTTAAATATAGACTTTTATTTTTCTTTATATTCTTAGATTACAGAAGTACATCAGTAATACTTGATTTCTGTATTCCAAATAATGTGTATATTATTATATTATATCAATTTTGCATTCACAAAGCTATACTGAAAAATATTCTTAACGAAAAAAATGGGTTGGAGTCCCATATCAGAGTGCCAGGGACAAAGTGGATTTTTTGAGCTTTTTTCATCAAAAATGTGTCTATTACTAATATCTAGAATTTTTAAACATTATCAGCAGTGTGGCTTAAGTTAACGTATTTAAGATCTGTTACTTTAGTTGACTGTAAAGTTGTACACGGTCTTTGAGTATTTTATTGACTTGGTTAGGTGGCGACGTCCCCCAGCGGTAGCGTAAAGCGTATGTCTTGCGATGAGGGCACATCGGAAGCGCGTAAGGCGTTGAACACTGGCTGGGCCAGTCCACAGGCGGCAGTTTCTCGGCTCGAGCCTGATGCGGCGAAACCGCTCGATCGGCAACATGTCGACGTTGTCGTCAACTTGTTGCTTAGATTGGCCTGCCAGGTATGTATCGTGACATCATTGTTTGAGATGAGTGACAAGAGCAAAGGTGAACAGTGGGGTAGTGAAAAATTAGTCACGAAATAGATGACGAAAATTAAATTTTTCTTTGAAATATACATAGATATTCTATTAAAACAGTAGGTTGCACAAACATCCATTAAGGTATAATGACGCATTTAAGCTCTAATGAATGTTAAATTTGAATGGGTAATGTCGCTTTAAACTAATGACAATTTTTATGGACGTTTGTACATTTTATGTGATTGTTGTATTAAACACGATCCGCCATGGTGTGACGTCGATTCGGCGACATCTGTTCCTAATCTGATCGTAAACAAATTCCTATTTAATATAAATGAAATTTCTGGATGATATGTTCTTAGTCTTAGAGATAAATGGCACTGTTCTTGTTTTATTGACATCTTTTAATCTATCTTTTTATTCAGTGATTCTTTTATAGATACGTTGCTCTATAAATCACAATAATTTGCGATTGATGAGATATACATGGGTGTAGGTAGTACAGTGTAAAATAATTTAACGCGTTTGATAATGGCGTAGGTAAATGAGGGTGCGGTGGGAGCGGGAGCGGCAGCGGGGGCGACAGCGGGAGCTGCATCGCCCGGCGAGCAACTGTCGCGTCGCTGCGTGTTACTGCTAAAAGCTGCTCTCAAACCAGATGTTTGGCCGCACCAGTGCGAACCCAAACTATCCTGGCTTGATAAGGTAGTATGAACATTCACATATATTGATATTTTGATGTTCATAAGTAACATTTTACCATTATATTCGATCAATTATGCCTCACAATGCTATACTTCATATTTAATAAAGAATTTTTTTAACATCATCCTCATTCGCCTACTGCAGAGGCTCAGTACTTTCTTATGAATGTTTAAGTTAAGATGATTAAGTTTTTTACCATGATGAATCTTAAGGTAATTGATTTAACACTCAATTTCAATAACAAATATGACCAGTAGTTTTTGTCTGCATATTTGCATCTACTAATTCAAATTATTGATTTAATACCGGGATTTTTATTTTTACTTTGCTTGAAATGTTTTTTACGACTGTTAGTATCTCATAAAGCATTTCAAGTGACTGTATACAATAAGTTATATCAGTTCATCCCTTTTGAAAACAGAAAGCGTTTTTTTTTTTTCACTTTTTATGACTTTGATGATGTAGAACTTTATGATCTTGGCGTTATCGATGTGGTTTCTAGGGTTTTTAATAAAAAGTTTGTGTGTAATTAATATTAAAATATTAATGTTGTTACATATAAAAATTGTGTTTGTCAGGTATTTTCAACGGCAGACAGTAACGCTGCAGCTTGCGCTAATGCTTGTACCGCCTTAGAACTCTTGGTGTTTTTACTGGGAGTGTTAAGAAGAGAACAAGCTTTAGCAGCGCTGAAGCCGCTGCAACGTGGCTTAGCGGCTTGCGTCTCGTCTACTAATGCTAAGATAGTGCGGCTTACGCACAATCTACTAGCGAAGTTAACCGCTCTCTTCCCCACTGAACCTTCTGGTGCCGCTCAAGCTTCCAAGGTAAGAAACAATGATTGCTCTATAAAAACTATTTATAACGATAATGTACATTTTTTTATGCTAAAACAGTAATTAAAGAAATATACTACTAAAGAGAATGATAAGAAAATGTTAACATGATTTTTTTTAAAATTAAAATTATACTTTTTAATTACTCACATATACCACATTTAATGTCTTAGAAAGCAAATTATACCAGCAGCAGCAGTAGGCCTGGAAAAAATCTGTGTTGTATTTAGTTCTATTACCGATTGGAGTATATTTCAATGTAATTAAAAAAAAAATCCAATATTTTTATTAAACTTAAAGACGATGTTTGTTTAATGTCGCCTATCTCTTAGTTCTTCACCATTTACTTTGAAATATCCTTGTATTTTTATACTAGAATGTTATTATAGACTGATCATGAAATTTCCACGTGGACATCAGATTTACGTTTTTACGCTTAGCATAGACTTGCGTTCAATAACCGGAAGTCTATTTTTCAGTACGAGGAACTGGAAACTTTGTACGCATGTGTCAGCAAGTACGCGTTCGAGGGCTTAGCGACTTACGAGAAGTCAGCGGCGGGTGGCGGCGCCGGTGCCCTACTGGGTCCCCTGATGATGCTGAAGGCGTGTTGCACCTCCAGCCCGTCTTATATCGACCGTCTGCTGTTGCCGCTGATGCGAGTGTTGCAGCGTATGGCGCGCGATCATGTCGCACCTAATCCTGACGCGGCGACTTCAGATCTTCTGGTGAGTACTGTTGGCTATTTGACAGTTGTAACAATAAATTATTAGATATTTTGGAAATGGTAACTTATAGTCAACAATTACTATGTATTTTTTTTTTAAGTTCAATGTCCAAGTAAATAAGTTTAATGTATTTTTAAAGAATTTAGCTTAATAAATGTAAATGTTTTGTGAATGTGGCCAGTAGTATTGTTTGAAACTCCAAATAAAAAAGTCAATCGACACCTTAGTCTAATGTGAACACGGTACATGAAAGAAAATATAAACGCGCTGAAACCGTTTAAAGTTGTTTCATTTATGTATTTTTTGTTTTAAATTAATAATAATTAATATTTTAATAAATATTAGTATTTTTATTTTTGCTAAATTATCTAACTTGCTATCTAAGAAACCCGGGCGACCATAACGTAGCACTATGTGACGTCACATTTCAATATTAACCTACTAAACTTCAAGCTCTTTATTGCAAGTGCAACCAGTACTTATGTTTATTGAGATGTGACATCACGGCTCGAAATGTCACATGACAATTATTGGAATACATTTTTTATCGTTTAGATACTCGCTCTGGACCTGTTAAAAGCACGGGTATCCGTTATGCCAGTTGATACGAGGAAGACCTTCATCGGCACTGTTCTAGTTGGATTGATCGAAAAGACGACCGATGCTAAGGTATTTCATATGATTTATATTTTACAGAAATTTTTTGATTTGAAAAATATCATAGAGATATAAATAAAATAGTTATATTCTTGATTGAATTATGTTCGCAGAGCCGTCAGTTTTTATATACATGTTTCAGATAACAAGCTTTACTATAGTGTTATTTGTGAAAACTGTTCATTGTATCATTTTATTATTTTTGATTTTCAAGAAAATATCAAAAATAGATATAACAGGCAAATGTAGAATTCTTCTTTATTTAATTAGCAATGAATTTTAAAATCGCTAAATTAAACTTTTATTCAGATGTTTTGTCTCTATTTGTTTTCTCCGTTACTCGGCTAAATAGCAGCGGGAAAGTTACGGTCCTTCGAGCCGGATATTAAGTAGCATGTTGTTTATGAAGGATCTTTATTCTATATTAATTTATAAAATATTTTAAAGGCTTAAAAAAAATTATAATGCATTTTATTTAAAATCGAATAAATAGGTGATGAAAGCAATCACTCGTATGGTAGAAGAATGGGTAAAGAATCGTAGCCAAGCGGGCAGCGCCGCGCCTTCTCTTCGTGAGAAATCAATTCTGCTTGTTAAACTGATGCAGTATGTTGAAAAACGATTCCCTGACGACTCGGAGTTGAATGCACATTTCCTGGATATCATCAACTATGTCTACAGGTATTAATATTTTCTATTCGATTTCATTAACTACTTTTCTTTTATTTATACTATAAATACTTTTTTCAACAGAGATGAACACTTGAAAATGACAGAGTTATCAATGAAGTTAGAACCGGCATTCCTCGCTGGGCTGAGATGTACGCAACCGAACATTCGTGCCAAATTTTTCGAGGTTTACGATCAGAGCGTCCGACGGCGCATCTTCGACAGGTTGCTCTATATTATCTGTTCGCAGAACTGGGAACATATCGGCCAACATTTCTGGATAAAACAGTGCCTGGAACTGTTACTCGTCACTTGTGTAGCTAGTGAGTATTATTGCAAATTACTATGCGACGGTCTTGTTTTGTGTCATATAGTGCTGTTCTTATTATATATTAAATCATACTGACAATATACACAAAATACACAACATATTTGATGAAATGTTTTTCAATATTTTTACTGCCTGCAGTATTAATGTACCATTATTTTTGTTTTTTAGGCACTCAAATCCGTTTATCAAATAGTAAATACCTCCTGCCGAATATAGCAGCGGTAATTAACTGGGCGGATAGTGAGGAGCGGAAATCGTTCGTCATATTCAGTTCTGTGAAAGAAGAATCTTCCGACGGTTTCACCGACTCTATCGACCCGGATAAAGAAGACGTATTGGATATGGATCTCGATTCCAGCTCCAATCAGAAGGAGGACGTCACTAAAAATGCTCCTAATAGGTAGGTAACATGATCGGTCTGTATTGTAGGATAACCTGTTTTCTTTTGACTCGTGCTTATATTATTCATTAGAAACGTATACTGCATTAAAACAGTAATTTTAAATTAGGGATTTGAGTATTTTGAATGAATGAATTTAGTTTGTTTTTTTTTTTATTTTGTAGACAACGAGCCCTTACCCAAATAATAGCTAAGCAATCTGAGTTCCTGGAGCTAGCGCGGCGCGTGAGGACAGAACAACTAGTTGTGGCGGCAGCGCAACTGTGTCACATGGACGACTCGCTCGCTCACCACACCTGGCTGCGACTGTTCCCTAGATTGTGGACAGCGTTCGACGAGAGACAACTCGCGGTTAGTTCATATGCAACAATAAACGGTCTAATAAAACTATCTGTTGCGGTTTTCTGTCGGTAGATGGCGCGGATATTAACATACACGAAAAAAATAAGATTTGATTGCATATACAATTTTAAACTGCTGTTTGTTTTCTTTTCCAGTAATTTTATTTATATCTTGAAAACTATTATTGCGCCATTCCAATAAAATTACAAACTTACATAAAGGTGAAATCTTTTATCAATTAAAAGGTATTAATTCTAAAAATTCTTTCCGGAAAATATACATTCCGTACTCATTACATTCATTTATAGTACTAATATAAGGTTTGTTTTTTAGACAATAATGAACGAGATGGTGCCATTCATAATATCAGGCGTGCATGTGGTGCAACGTGATCAACCCCTCAGCGCTCTGAACACCTTCATTGAAGCTTTAGCCCGTTGCAATCCACCGATAAGCATCAGACCGTAAGTATATCATCAGTTTGTGGTGTAGTAAATAGACTAACATTATATCACTTTGCACTGAATACAATATACTGTAAATCCGGGTGAGGGTTGTCAATATTAACAACCATCATGAAATCAATTTCCTGTCAATGTCCTAGCATTTTGGATGTAAAAATGTGCCATATTTGCCGGATCATAGTAACAGGATATATTGACAGTTACTAGTCGTAGTATAGTCTATTGGTTTTTTAATGTGCCTTTCCATGAACAGGAAAATTAAGTTTAGGTCTAAAATTAAGCTTTTTTCCAGTTATCTGTGCGGTGCAACCAAATCAGTGGCCTAATTGTCAAAAAAAAATCTTTCACAAATCACTTTGAATTTGACATTTGAAAGACATTCGCGAACTTCACGCTACAACTAAATGACATGTGAAAGTAAATGCGATCGCGACATTTTTTTGAAAGATTTTGAATGAACGATAACGTTCATTTGACGTTAATCGGAATTGTCTAAGCAAATTGATGGTTACAAATACCTTTGAAAGCTATTGGGTAATGTCAAATGAAAGCGTTGAACACTAACTGCAATCTTTCGATATTTTATGTATGTTTTGATTATGTTTTTGAAAGTTTTGTTAAGGATATACTTTATACAGGGAGCAAAAAAACGACCGACACAGCCGCAAGTTTCAAGTTAGGTTACATGCAAACGTTCATTTTATTTGACAAATATTTCAAAATAGAGGAGGTGTAAAAATGGAGTAAATATTTTCAATTTCTAAGTGTTGACAGCCCTATAACGCGCATGCGCAATATCGATCGTGTGCAGATTATAACGGACCGCGAAAAACATTAATTTAATTTAATTATTTACCGATATCTTAATGATAGTCGATGCTGAAATTGTCCACTTCCTTTCTGAAGACTGAGCTAAGCACGCTCTTCTGCATGCCGGTGCATGCACGCGCAAAACACATCACATTTCAACAAAACTAAACACAATCTTCACTAAACTAAACTTAACACTCAAGACGAACACTGTAGTATCTTATTAACAAAAATTCAATTATAAATGCACTAGAACAAAACAAAAATCGACAAACATGGCGCTTCGTAGCGGTGCGTCGGCGGCGATGCGCAACAACACTCCAGCGCAAACGGTCGGCGGCGACTGAGCTCCTTTAGGAGTACTATTACTATTAATACTATTCTATGCGACTGAGTACGGGAAACTCCCGACAGAACAATGAAGCCGGCTGGCTTTTATCCAGGGTCGAAATCGGTTCACCTTTTTTTAAATTCGTCTTTTGATATCACGGTTTTTTAAATGCTCTTTTTAAATGCAATTACTTAAATACTATACTATTAATACTATTCTATGCGACTGAGTACGGGAAACTCCCGACAGAACAATGAAGCCGGCTGGCTTTTATCCAGGGTCGAAATCGGTTCACCTTTTTTTAAATTCGTCTTTTGATATCACGCTTTTTAAATGCTCTTTTAAAATGCAATTACTTAAATACTATTTTAATAACAAATTCCTCAATGTTTTTAAAACAAAGTGCATTTGTGTTAATGATGAATCGCTGGAAGATTCGTGCGTTTATTGAGTTTAATTAACGATACCGTTTTTAAAGGAATATTACCCCATTCAAACAAATTTTTTGGAGAACTGCTCTTTTAAAATAACGTAGATTAACGTTAGACTGATCTTTCTACAATAATTTAGGAAATGTTACACTCGGTTTCTGAATTGAGAATCTAAAGTTAAACGTCTCAAACTAACATCTCTTAGTTTTCGTTTCCGATTTTAGTTTTTTGATAATCAGTTGATAGCAGTTTGATAAAGCTAGGACTATTTGACTTGTGAAACGCATAAAGCTTAGGTTATGGAGAATAAACAGAAGAGATTTTCTACTTTTTTCAAATCAGAAACCGGCTGTTAGTCTGTTAATCGATTTAAGCATTTTGACTGCCTTGTTTAGTGATTGTCTGGTAGAATTTGCATGAAAGCGGTGTTATAAATCACAAACTAGTTTATTTAGTTTTTAGAAATGAAGAAGTCAATGACCGATTAAAAACTTGTTCCTTAGTACGTCCCAAAAACAGCTGACTCAGGGTTGAAAACACTAATTTTTATCGAAAAACTTTGTAATTTAATATCTCCGAAACTATTTGACCTAGATATATATTTTTTTTACATCATGTTAAAGACAAATAGTACTCTTCAGGAACTTCGCGAGTGTCGGTCGTTCTGTTCCACGGAGTATACATTTAAAACCCAATAACGCTTATAATTATTATTCTAATCACTCGTTACGGTAAAAAAAAAATACTAAGAATACTCACTTTTTTATTATGCATTTATAACATACTTGTATTTATAACTATTTCATAAAATGGTAATTTTTTAACTACCACAAAATTTGCAAATTTCATTAAGATGACTATTACACTATGTAAATAAATTCCTCCATTACTGGGTTACCGATTTACTCAGAACTCTACATATAACAAAAAAAAAATTAACAGCTATTAATAAATATTTCGAACTTAAAATGAAATGCATAGTTCATCCAAATTTTCTGACAGATGAGGCACAGCTGATGACATGACGAGCTTAGGGATTCAACGATACCACGTAGGAATCGATACTTTTAATCGATACCTACTTGTATCAAATAGTTTTAAAATGCCTTACCATCGTCATTATTTTTATAGTTTTTTCAGAGTAGATTTGATACTGTTAATAGTCTGTTAATAGCTCTACTCTGTATGATGAAGAAAGAGAAGTAGGTCTAAATATAAAAAGCGACGCATATAGGTATAATGTATTTGGCTAGGTATTGCTTCAAATTTTGTTGGCTCTATATAGATCTCTAACTACATAAAATAAGTAGGGGTTACTTATGATTAGTCATACAGGGACAGGGCAGCGTCCCTGCTTACACAGAGTAAACAGATTAATGCTCGCGAGTTTTTGACACTCCTCAGTGACTTACCGACCAAATACCGATACAAACACTTACACTCTTACTTCACGATACTATTTACTACTCCGTTTTAAAGTATCGATGCCATAAGTACTTGATTTCGATAGAAAAATATCGAGTTAGTACTTATATTTACTCGTATCGACCATCCCTAGAAGAGCTGACATAAAGAAACGCGCTTGGCGCATTTTATTAGTACGATAGTACGATGATTTGTTTGTTTTTCGTTGAAATAAAACATTGTGTTTATCAAAAGTATGAAATTTTAAATCATTTCAAATATTTTATTGATATGAATAAAATATTTTTATCCATTAGTCGAAATAGGCGAATTAATTACAATCATATGAAATCGAAAAGATTATTTCACAACTTTAAAAAACAAAAAGAAATTTTAAAAAACAAAAAGTTGTGAAAGATTATTTCACAACTTTAAAAACAAAATGAAATGAATTATCTATGACATTCTGTATCATTCAAATCATCATTCGTTCCGAAACTTTTAAAGTCACAATTGCGACTTTAAAAGTTACACAATTCCATAAATCACTATCACAACCACTATACGTTTGAAAATGATTGTGATAGATTAAAAAATTAGACAATTAGGCCACAGTACTGGTCATAGGAATGACATTGATTGAAAGATATACTTAACATTTGAACACAAACATTTTCTTAGTTTTAAGATTTTTGTTTTAGTAGCCATTACTACATACTTATTTAGTATTTTGTGAATATATACTTTGTTAACAAAATCTTTCTTTTTTCAATTATTTCCTAAAGGCCGATGATGAAATACCTGGGCAAAACTCACAATCTATGGCACCGCATGACACTTAATCTGGAGCAGATGGCCATTGATCAGGCGAGCGGACGCGCGCCTCCAGAACCAGTTGAAGTATACGACTATGAAGTAGAAGCCACTACCCCTACAGTACGTAATAACATAAAAGGAACATTTCACTTGTGTTAAAACAGTCTGCCTGAAATAAGGCCACAAAAACACAATAATATAAATTACCCTTGCGGGGAATATTAATTTTATCTTTATGTCATTTAAAATATGGTTTGTCTGCCGTTGTGTTTTATATAACATAATATTTGTTAACAGGAAATACTCGACTCTTTGAGCGATATGTATGAGCTATTGCAAGAAGAGGACATGTGGTCAGGCTTATGGCAGAAGCACGCTAGGTTCCGAGAAACAAACGTCGCAATCGCATATGAACAACAAGGTTTCTTCGAACAGGCTCAGGTGACTTCATTATTATACTACCATTTATGACATTTCATTCTTCCTTTAGAACTAGTAAAAAAATGTAGACGTATTCTAGACATTATATTATGTAGCTTCAGCATGTCAGTATACAAAATTTTTCAAATTTGTATTTAATAAATCTTAATGTATTGAGCGTAGAGATCATGATCAATTGCTTAACTACATAAACACTTTATGTAATATTATTTTACACTTCTTTTTTTGACGAAAATGCTATTGTTTTATTACCTTATATTAATATATTTTTAGGCTGCGTACGAAATCGCTATGACTAAACTAAAACAAGATTACTCCTCAAATCCGTCTGCATACAATATGCATAAAGAGTGTGATCTTTGGAACCAACACTGGCTGAAATGTGCAAAAGAACTGAATCAATGGGATTCATTGCTGGAGCTAGGACTCGGCAGGAGTGCTCGGGACTCATTTCTTATTCTGGAGAGCTCTTGGAGGAATCCTAACTGGCCGACAATGAAGGACGCCCTGGCTGAAGTGGAATACAACTGCCCGAAGGAATTAGGTAAAAGACATCGTATTGGAAAAATCTTATAAGCTACTAGCTCTTTCCACGCCTTTCGCCCTCGGAAATTAAAGCTGTAAATTAAATTTTCAAAATCTGACTAATAATTTCGGAGCCATTTCGATGCACACAAACAATCCAATCTTTCCGCTAGAAAATATTAGTAAAGATTAAAAAAAAAAAAACAAGTAAAAGGTATCAAGTACTTGAAAAATTCGCCAGTCTCCATTAGCTTTCTTCGAAAAGTATTTATTAGGATAATAGATAGATATAACTCTTTATTGCTCTCACACATAAGAAAAGGTTAACATCAGATATCTTAACTCTAGGGTAGGCAAAGGCAGTCGTATCGCTAAGAGCGATCTCTTCTAGATGACCCTTGTGGCAAATATCTCTAGAAGGAGGTGGTAGTGTGCCCGCACTCTGGTAGTGGGGCCGTCGGGGCTGGGCTGCCGCTCACACCTTTCGGTGTGTGGGGTGACCGGGCCTGGGCGGGGCCACTATCAGGGTGTGACTTAGGAACGGAATACCAGCGACTGGTTCGGCTCACGCTGGGCTAGACATTGGTATCCGGGGCTATCGGGATGAGGGATTCACGAAGGTTCAGCCCGGGTGAATTCCCTCTCGTAGACGGGTTAGGGTGGGAGATGCTCAGTCGCGCATCTCTTGCCTTTGACGAGGGGCAGTCTGGTGGGTTAGCGCGCTCGCTGGGCATTGCTCGCCCCTTGTCCTGTCTGTTGGTCGAATGTTCCTGAGCCCTTTCCCTAACTTGAGACGGGACCTGTCCTATAAAAGGGGTGGGTCGTGCGTGGGTAGGTCCGCGAGTATGGTCCCGTATGGGACCCATGCCGTGCCCTACTTGTGCTTGAGAAACATCGCTGAGTTTTAGTGGGTATGCCCCCTGCTTTTTGACGAGCCCCCACAGGGTTGGTCCGCAGGGGAGACTCCCACATAACCCGTGGAGTTTGCGCGGGGTGAAGCGGGTATGTGTAACGCATTTGTCAGCGTCAAAAAAAAAGGTGGTAGTGTGCCTACAATAGAATATTAAAATTGTTATATATAATTTTAATATAATACATACAATATAACATTTCATTCAAGAACTGTTAATAAGAGTTCTTTCGTTTTTTAGTAATTAAAAAATAATAATATATGTGACGAGCGAATAAAATAAATGTAACAGGCCAATGATTATATTTGTTCTTTGTCAGCTTGGCTGGTGAACCTGTACCGCGGCTACCTGTGCATATGCGCGGGCGGCGAGCAGCAGCTGAACGGCGTGGAGCGTCACGCGGAGGCGGCGGCGGCGCAGTGTCTGCGCGAGTGGCGCCGGCTGCCGCGCATAGTGTCGCACGCGCACCTGCCGCTGCTGCGCGCCGCACAGCAACTGATGGAGCTCAGCGAGGCCGCGCAGATACACACGGTCAGTATGTGACGGGTTCGGTGCTTGGGCATGTAACGGTGTGCCATACCACCGTTTATATTTTCCTAGGTTTCAACATGCAAACTTTTTGCCTTTGATATTCAACATAATTTATATTTATTATTCACCTTTCGTAATTTGAAATTTTTATTAATCCAATATGCTCTTCATGTAAAAAGTCAGTTGTGAACATGTTATTGTAAATTGTATAAATTTAAATAAAAAATATTATAATAATGAAGTTATCATGATTAAAATAAAAATTATATATTATTTAAAATAAAATTATATCTATATAATAAAAAGAAATGATGTTGAATATCAAAGACAAAAAGTTTGCATGTGGAAATTTAGGACGAAATAAACGGTGGTACGGCACACCGTTACGAGTATATATACTCTGTAGTGTCACGCGGAGCCGATGCAGTGCCTGCACGATTGGCACCAGTTGCCGCGCATAGTCTCCCACCCTATACTATTATTTTACTTTTCGAATCAGGAGATTTTACACACTGTCCCTGGACAGACGACATAGCTTTTGGTGTATGGGAATCCTCCCGTAAATGGGCCTACTCAGTGAAGTGACCATTGACCAAGACAAAGTCATTCTCCCGCCAGAACCCGGAACTCGGAAGAGAACCCAAGCGTAATCGCCAGGCAGGGTCGAATCGAGGCGGGGAAAGTGGCGGCATTTGTCCTGGGTGCCAGTGTCATGGGGGCGTCAAAATCCCCGTAATATAATACGGTTCGGGTCGAGCTTCATAAAGGGATAGAGGGCGAGGGTACAAAATTTTAACTTGCAAATTTTGTCTTCATTGGATAAAGTCGTAAATTGTACCCAGGTCAACCACTCATTGCGCCACTCTCGTCGCCAAATAGCGGGCAGGAAAGGCTCGGAGTATGAAGAATCTCTTTTCAGTTGGGCAAAGAAATGCAATGCATTACACATGCTCACTATTCTACGGCAACCATGTCATGATGTCTACCTTACGCGTCTGTTCTCTTGAAGATGTGTTCCGCGTTGATGCCGATGGTTTCATAACTGCGAAGCAATGGCAAACCTTGTTCCTTTGAGCACCGAGGTTCCGGTCCGTCTAATTAATGCCACGCTCTTACCTCTCTAACGATAGAGAAAGGAATGGCAACGAGCTTCATGCCTTTCGTCATTCCTTCTTCTTCGTCTTCTTCAACTTTCAAGATCAGCGTGTTTACTTTTGAACGCAATCGCGATCGATCGACATTGCAATTATGACGTTTCGTGCTCTTGATTTGGTAAACTTGCGCTAGTTTACCAAATTGGCATTGGTTCAATATTGCATGGTAAATATTTAGTCTATATTTCATAAGTACGACCTAAGATTTGATGAAAATTGTGATCGTCATTTGATTCGATGGAAATCGACATTAAGATTGCGTTCAAGAGTAGGCCTGCAGATACGAATACGGGCTTATTAATTCTAAATTTGATGTTTAAAATTTATGTTTCTTTCGACAGGGCCTCCTCCACAGTAGGCCTACCTCATTGCACGATATGAAGGCCATAGTGAAAACGTGGCGCAACCGCCTGCCCGTAGTGGCCGACCCGTTGTCTCATTGGGGCGCAATATTTACGTGGCGTCAACACCACTACCAGTTTATCGCGTCCCACTACGACTCGCAAGCGGAGCACGCGTCTAATCATAGTATGTTGGGGGTCCATGCTAGCGCTCAGGTAAGAAAAGATATCTTGATTTTTTTAAATTTTAAAACGAGATTGAGATTAAAGCGTTCGAATAACCAAACGCTCATAGTTTTTTGGTTAGTATAGATAATATTTTTTGTTTTAGGCAATCATTCATTTTGCAAAGATAGCGAGAAAACATAATTTATCTGGCGTGTGCTTGGATTCCTTACACCGCATATATACAATACCGAGCGTACCGATAGTAGACTGCTTCCAAAAGATACGTCAGCAAGTCAAATGCCATATCCAAATGTCTTGGACAGAGGGTAAAGAAGAGTTGCAAGAAGGATTAGATATGATAGAGTCTACCAACTTTAAGTATTTCACCAAGGAAATGACAGCAGAGTTTTATGCCTTCAAAGGATTGCTTTTAGCTCAGTTAGGACGATCAGATGATGCGAACAAAGCTTTCGCGGCCGCGGTTCAACTACACGATACTCTGGTTAAAGCCTGGGCGTTGTGGGGTGATTATTTGGAACAGATATTCATAAGAGACCCGCGTCAGACCGTCGTTGGTGTTTCTGCTATGACCTGCTTCCTACACGCCTGCCGTCATCAGAACGAATCGAAATCCAGGAAATATTGTGCAAAGGTAAGTTTTATAAAACACATTTTAATATTCTTAATGAAAAATGCTTAAAAAATCTTCTTTTTCCCTGGTACTCTGAAATGGCACTCGAACCCATGATCCTTCGCAATCCGGGCGACTGCTGTAACTACTGACACACTACTCAGGACCTAACATGACTGACGAATTCTTCAAGCACTTGTTACTTTATCGCTAGTACAGAGCGTATTGTCATCAATGTTCCAGAAATCCACCCAAACAGCCAAAAGAAATATATATTTTTTCATTAAGAATATTTTTCAGCATAGCATTGTGGATGCAAAATTAATAAAATGCAATAACACACTTTAATTTTTAAATTCTGGGTATTATATTAAGCTTTATTTAAAAAGTGACACTATTCGTGGTAGGTTGATTAATAATTTGTATAATGTCAGGTGCTATGGATGTTAAGCTTCGACGACGAAAAGAACAGTCTCGCGGAAGCCTTAGACAAGTATTCGGTGGGAGTACCGCCCGTGCAGTGGTTGCCATGGATACCGCAGCTGCTCGCATGCCTCGTGCAGTATGACGGCAACGTTATACTCAACTTACTCAGCCATGTAAGCAACTTGTTATAAAACAGTTTGAATGATTTCGTTTAAAATTTAATATTGATGCTATATGTCGTAACCATTCAAAAAATATAATTAGGCTCCAGTATTTTAGGGTTTTGTTAAATAAATTTTTACTTGTAGTCGAAGGGGTGATGTTAAAAAGTCCAGATTAATTAAAGCTACTTTTATTTCTAATTTTAAAAATATGCGTCATTTTAATGAGGTACATGTTTAGGTATACTTATTCATATGCTAAAAGATTCAAATCAATTAGATTTTTATTAATTTCCTGTGTACTGAGGACATGATTTTTTTTTTGTATAGGTGGGCCGGCTATATCCTCAAGCGGTGTACTTCCCCATCCGCACCCTTTATTTGACTCTGAAAATAGAACAACGAGAGAGGCACAAGACCGCCGAAAATATAGCAGCACATCTACCACATCAACCCACCACTACAGCTGTAAGTTCACGAATTCTTGATTCAACTGAAATTGTTGCATAAAAAAGATTCTTTTTTAAATCGACATTTACCATTATATTTAAACATTATATTATTTATTGCTATCAAGATTTTCGCAGTAAAATAATATTACTTTGACGAGCAATTGTCTCAGCTCTCGGTAAAGAAATATGAAAACGTTACTTTTGTATCAAAATGTTAAATATACGTATATGAAACGATAAATAATGAAATGTTTGACAAGATTCCATTTAGAAGTTTCTGTCTCCATAAATTTTCTGCCTTGAAGAAACTTTTCTTTTTACTTTGATATTACTATATATAGTATAATATAAAATCGCTTCCCGCCGTCTGTACGCTGAGATCTTCTGAACTTCGCAGCGGGTTTTAATGTGGTTTTTATTAGTACACAGAGTGAATCAAGAGGACCACCCCGCGAAGACGCTGGCACTAAGCTAGTTTTTATATACATTATTAGATACAAATTACAAAATATCCTCCAAATTTTATTTAGAAGTGTTGTCATTTTGTAAGTATTTGTCATATTGGTTGAGTTGGATCTTTGATTGAAAATTAAGTATAATGGTAACTTGAGGTATTATTATTAAAACGTTGCAACATACAGGGTGGTAGTAAGGCGAACGAGGCAGCATCTTCCTCGAGCGGGAGCTCCACGGGCGGCGAGGCGGGGCCCATAAAGGCCACGCTGCCCATGTGGCGCTGCTCGAAGATAATGCAGTTGCAACGAGAGATACATCCCACCGTGCTCTCATCATTGGAAGGCATCGTAGACCAGGTATTTTTCAAGGCATAGTGCAATCATTAGTATTAATATTATATTTTACCGTAGATAGATAGTTTCAAATCTTTGGCCAAACTTGATAAAGAATATTTTGTTTACCAATAAAGTATACCTGACTATCATTGACAGGCATGTGTTATAAGTCCTTTAAATTGATAATGCGCTGGAAACTTGTTTAGTATAGATAGCATAAAAGGCAAGAGATAAGTGATTTATTAATTATTGAAATATTTTTTGAATAATCCACAAAATATTGTTGTTATAATTTAATAACTCTTAGTTTGATAATTTATTGCATGATTTTTTGGAAAATAATCAATTTATATGTTAATATTTAGGTATATCGAAAATAAAAAAATATGAAAATAACATTTATTTTGTAATAACGCGATAACAAACGGATAGGACATTTTTTTTAAATATAATCAAAGGAATAATGAAATGAGAGAGATTTAGATATTTATTATGAAAATCATAATAGCTTTTAATTTTAGTCAAGTAACAACTATCGAAACCAATAAAAACATAACAAAAATAATGTGTGATCTCAACACAACCCAGCTCAATAACTGTACTCATCAACCAGTGTTTATTTGTTAACGGTAGTGAGTTTTGAACGCAATTATGTCATCAAAATGGCGGCCAGGCGTATTAGCAATATTCTTTTCCCGGTGGACTATAGGAAAGATTTTCTACATTTATTTTTATGTATTATATATTAAAAAACAATTTTAATATCTTATAGCAAATAACTAAAAGCAAACCAAGTATTAGATATGGCTAATTTATTTCTATTACTTAATGAAAAAACGTACCAATTATGTTTCCATGTAGTCTACGTAATAACACGGAACGGAGTAAATTCGTACATATATGGTCGGTAAATTTAATATGATTCGATAGAATGAATACATATATCTTTTTTTGATAGTATCAATTAGCGAAATTGTTTAGAATATCTTTCTATTATTATTATTATATTCTATTATTATATTGCTACTGTTTATGTAATATTTAAGTTTTGTTATTACCTTATTTGATTTGTTTACATTTGTTCTTTATCTAATTTTGCTAGGGTATAATTTAATTTATTTGAATTTTAAAGTAGCTGCCCTGGCAAACTTGTTTCTGTCAAAAGTTATTGGCATTTTGGTCGCGTCGTACCGGAAAAGTAGTGTTACGTCAGAACAGACAAATGTCAAAAGATTCAACCTTCCACCGATGAACCGTCTATGCGTTGAACGTACAAACGCATATTACCATTGAAATACTAGACTAGGGTCAGCGATTACTTTAATTAGGGGTAGTTTTCCAAAAAGACATGGTTGTTATAATTATGGTTGTTATGTAATTTATATTACGGAAGGTAATTATTGATTGACTGAGTGTGCATGCGGATTGGAGACCACCATCGTGGCTCAACAAACCAATGAACATAACCGAAGTAAATGAGTATTGATACAAATCTTTATATATAATGATTACAACAAAACGTAGTAGAATGCTGGAAACCACATAAATATATTTTGTAGGTTATGAGTTTATGCCGTTCAAACTGATAGGAGAAGGATTGAGTAATTGATAATCAAAAACGACCTAACAGTTGTTATTAAAGTTATTTATTAATTTTGCTGTTTCACTTTGGAAAAATTTAAATAAATATATAAATCATTGATTGAGTTCTATACACACCATGTTTGGGATTAGTATTACAAAAGACGTGATGTATAAACACATTAAAAACTTATATTTTCACTATAACAAAGGGGGTTAATTTTTTAACTGTACTCTTAGCATATTGTGCAAGAATTTCGCTACCACGACGTTTATCGCTTACCTTTATACATAGACACTTTATAGTGTTTTGAAATACCATAAAGATGTTTTTAGTGTTATGATTGCAATTTATGGATAGTAAAAAATTAAATTCATATGTAAATTATGTACGCTCTGTGCAATAAATATTATTCATAGCTATAGCGTTAAAAGTCGTTAAAACATATCTAGTAAATTATTTTTTATGACTGCCATACAAGTATTTAGTCATTTGTGGAGCACTTAATAACTTCGTAATTGGCGGTTGACTATAGTCTATCAGATCATTCAAATCGTTTTAATTAAATGAGTTTGTAGAGATGTAGCAACTCTCTCGGTTAAAAATGTGATTTGCAATATGAGAACCGTATCTTACTTTGCGACTTTGCTAGAATTGGCAAAGAATAACTAATATTTTAGCAAATGTTACTGCAGCAATTGTAATTTGGTTTTCGTCATTGCTGTAATTTAACTTCAAGTTGGAAATTGCGACAAATAAAGTTGCTACGTCGGTGCCGTGCCTAATTCATTATTAAGTATATCGATAATGCGCGCTGTGGTACGCGATTTCGGTATGAAAACAAACACAGCTGCTGTTTTATATTATTATAATCACGCTTATCTCTTCATTTGTTTTTATAACGGATAGCTTTTGGATACCTTTTGATTAAATCAAAAATATTACTTGGAAAAAATATATTTACTGATAATTTTACCGGAACCGAAGCATAAAGCACATTACACGTTAGTTAATCACAAACTTTGACCTTTTTTATATCAAGAGTTAGCATTCCGACAGACGTTATCTTAGGAAATTCCATATTATTTTCAGAATAAAACATTGTAAGGCGTCTTTATGTAGTCAAATTGATAATGCTTTTAATTTGTGTCATTATTATACGGACACGTGTTTTAACAAATAAATTTGTTGTGTTTTAACAAATTTTATGAGATAAGACTTTTATTTTTTTATTTGTATTGCAAGTTCTTATGTCGTCTAAGTTTCTTACTGCTTCTTCTTGATATATGGTCTCCTGACGTAATTTTCAGAAGTAATAAGTGTTAATGCTCATTTAGCTTTTTTCACCAAGCATTTCATATACAGGGAACAGAAATCAATTATATCTAAATACCTGGAAAACGAATTGGGTAATATAAAAAAATTGAGGTGAGCAAGAAGATTGAAGATATTAGAGGCTGCCCTTAGCAACTATCTATAAAGATTGCGTTAATAAATTTAGCAAAATTTATTACACGGATATCCTGACGTAAAGTGTTACGTACACAGATGGTGTGGTTCCGTGAGAACTGGTACGAGGAGGTGCTGCGACAGCTGCGCGCTGGCCTCGCCAAGTGCCACGTGGTGGCGTTTCACCACCGCGCTGCCGTCGCTGACGCCACCGTTACACCGCACACGCTTAACTTTATCAAGAAAGTCGTCTCCACGTTCGGAATCGGAATTGGCATTAGTGAGTATTATCGATATAGCATTAATAATTTCTCTTTTGTCAAATACTTGGTGCTCTAGATAAAAGAAAGGAAAATAAGCATAGAAAGGAGCTACCTGGATCATCAGAACTTTGTGTGGAAAAAAGGTGCATTTCGCGAATTAAATTTTGTTTGATTTTAAAACGTATGTAGATAGGGTTTATTATTAGAGACAACATTTTCCACTTTGACTATCGGTCAATTGCACAAACGTCCATTAAAGTTTAATGACGCCTTTAAGCTCTAATGGATGACAAATTTGTATGGGTAATGTCACTTTAAACTAATGAAAATTTTAATGGACGTTTGTGCAACTGGCTGTGTGACATTGACAGAAAAGAAAAGACCATAGAAAATTAGAAAAGTATGTATAGTCTCTTTTCACACCTTGCTTAGTGATTGCAAGCTAGTCAATATCGAAATCAGAATTTGGTCATATTGCTAGCAATACTACAACGTTTTAGTCATCTCATCTAAAATAAACACATGATTAATTAAGCTCTGCATTACTAAAGGATATGCAAAAGGTGAGTTTCCAATTACATCTTTTGTGTATTAAATATCACAGCTGTTATGAAAGAAGTTTAGTAGAAGTTTTGGTAATGGATTTAAACGATACGTAGGATAATAAATATCAATGTTTTATTTGATAAGAAATTTTTTATAAGTCAAAAGTAGATTAGTCAAATGTCTTAATCAATCTATTAGTCGATAAAAAAAAATAGAAATGTCAGTATTTATATTTGTATATAATATTTAGGAATCGAAATATAGTCGTTTTTTATTTCTGGCTTACTTTGATACAAGATTCGTATATTTTTTAAAACAAAGTAAGTTGATTTCCAGAATACTTAAAATTACAGTCGCTATAGTAATAGTTGTTGACCGATGTTAAGGTCTTATCACAAGACACAAAAAGGTTACATTATCAATTTTAATACTAGCTTTCATAGAATTCTATCTCAAAATGGAATGAAAACAACGTTTTTATAATAAAAAAATGGGTTAAACCAAAGACGTAAACAGTTGCATAAATATTTATGCTAAACTTATAAAATTCGTAGAATAAATATATCACAGCACGATTTATATACTTATACGTAATCCGAGAATTGTATTTATATCATTTACATAGTGTTTATTTATTCCAATAAGTATTCATAACGTCATACGGAAAAAAACGGCTGCAAAGGTGACTAAAGTTTTGCGAAGCTTTAAAACTGCATGTTAGTTATATAACAAACTAGATAGCTCCATAAGCTAATAAGGAAGTTGAAATTTTAATTGGAACCCAAATGAGCAAAGAATTTATTGAAGAGGTTATAATTCTTTAGTTGTTTCTATTAATTGATCGACTATTTCGCTCACTGAATAGTACAGTGGCACAACTCAAAAACCATAATTTCGAGAAAATGCCACAACATTGTGGTGACATCCCATTGATAATTTAAAGAAAAAATAAAAAACTTTACAGTAATAATATAATACAAACGATTTAACTGTTATGCTAAATAATTTGATTTTCATAATCCTATTAATATCATAAATGTGAAAGTTTCTTTGTTTGGATGTTTGTACGTCAATCACGCCGAAACTACTGAACGGATTTTGATGAAATTTGGTATACAGATAGGGTGTTAGCTGATTTAGGTAATAGGATACTTTTTATCCCACTAAACATTTCCCAAGGGTCCACACGGGCGAAGCCGCTGGCGAAAGCTAGTTATAAATATATAAAATTTTCTTAATTCCGGAAAGCGTTTCTCAAAATTATGGTTTTTGAGTTGTGCCACTGTACTATTCAGTGAACGATTTCATAATTTAATCAACACAATATTTACAACTTTAGTATTTAACTTGTTAAAACAATTTATTGTATGAAAAAACTAAGTTTTGCCCGCGACTTCGCTCGCGTAGTCTTGTTTTAAGTCCAGAAATGAGAAAATTCCATTCAAACTTTCATCCCCTAATTTACCCGCTTGGGGTTCGAATTTCGTAAAATCCTTTCTTAGTTAGCATATACGTTCTAGAAAGAATCCGCATGCAAAATTTGAAACTCCTACCACTTGTAGTAACGAAGTCTCATACAAACTTTCATCCCCTAATTCAAATATTCTCTCTTAGTGCTCCGCTACATTCCCCAAGGAATCTTCATTCCAAATTTCAACTTTCCAGCTTAGTAGTTTCGGCTGTACGTTGTCTGTAAATCAGTCACTCGGTAACACAAGAATTTTATATATATAGATCTCAAGTCAACACTCAAATTTATTTATTTAGATTGAGCATTAACTAATACAATATAATTATACCTGTAGTGGATAATAAGTAACGAATCTACCTTTAAACGAAATACATCTTTTAAAAGTAAAATTAATTAATGGATTGCATTGTTATATTTAAATTGGTTTTTAAACAAATTTTGTTTAATACACTTTAAATTTTTTTATATTCAATACTTTATTGTAATATTTAAAAGGCCTTATTCTTTCACATTATAAACTTGTAAGTCTAATGTGACATTATTCTTAATGGTTATTAACGATAAAATTTATTCGTTTCAAAAACAAAAATTGATTTACGCATATTTTCTTTCACACATACACGTATAATGCTAAGCTTCATGGAAATTATTACGAATACCAATAAAAGAGTGGGGTACATTCGTCATTTCGTCGTCGTCGTCTTAAGGATAGCAATACCAATAAGCATAAGTTTTGTATTTTGGTTAACCATGATTATATACTTATAAATTCTATTTTTTTATAAGTGTTAGACGATACCATAAGAACTATGAAAACGACTTAAAAGTGTAACCATGGTTACGAAAATCAACAGGGATGATGCCTGGGTAAAAAAAATAGAACTTTCATTTAGTCCGCCCGTCAGATTATAAAAAAATATTATTACGTATTTTTTTGCTGAAATTTAACTAGAAACTGCTTAGACATTATAACAGGCATTCAAGTTGAGAAGTGGGGGCTCGGTACGTCACAGCTTTGTAGAATATGTACAAAATTGTGACGTCATGCGACATTCTAACTATGATTAAATTTCATAGAGTATATAATATGTAAAATGGGATTATATAAGTAATTTAGCTGTCTATTTATGTAATATGCACTGATTTAATATGTAATCATATATAAACAATGCTATAATAGAACCATCACATGTTAGTTTAGTAAGCTGTGCGTTCACTAATCTTCCTTTATAATTTCAGGGTTTCCTTTTCCTGTCATGCTTTACACTTACTAACAATAGATCATGCACTAACCTGCCACATGCGAGCGCTATTATATATACATACTCCATTTTGTATGTCGACAGAAAGTGTTTCAAGTTCTGTAAGTGGTGCATTCTCTTCAGCTGCATCGGAGAGCCTGGCTCGCCGGGCGCAGGCCACCGTTCAAGACCCAGTTTTCCAGAAGATGAAGAGCCAGTTCACCGCTGACTTCGACTTTTCACAACCCAATGCTATGAAATTACAAAATCTCATACAAAAACTGAGGAAATGGGTGAAGATATTAGAGGCCAAAACAAAAGTCCTACCCAAGTAAGTAATCTTCGTGCAATAATGATACACAGATAAGGTAAATAAAGTGGACTATATTATTGCGTTTGTGACGTCCTTTACCACTCGTGAGCTAATAGTACACCCATTCGTAGATTAACACCATTGCGTAGTTTTTAGATGCAATAATCACCATAGGCAAATTCATTACAGCATACTAACATTTTTGCTTGAGGTTTGAATTTCGAATGTCACTTATAAATATCTTTGTTACAGGTCATTCCTCATTGAAGAGAAATGTCGGTTTCTCTCGAACTTTAGTTTGAAAACTGCCGATGTAGAATTGCCTGGAGAGTTTCTACTTCCCAAGCATACTCATTATCATGTGAGGATAGCAAGATTTATGCCACGTGTTGAAATAGTGCAGAAGCATAATACATCCGCTCGCCGGCTTTACATACGCGGACACAATGGGAAGATATATCCATACCTAGTAGTTAACGATTCCGGCTTGGGTGACGCCAGGAGGGAAGAACGAGTTTTACAATTGCTCAGAATGTTGAACCATTATTTGGGCAAGCAGAAAGAAACTTCTAGGAGATTCCTTAATTTCACCGTACCGCGTGTCGTATCCGTATCGCCTCAAATGAGATTGGTCGAGGATAATCCCAGTTCGATATCCTTGCTGGATATTTATCGCACCGAATGTACTAACAGGTTTGTATTTTTTTATTTTTGTTACCAGATAGCATAGATTTTTTAATTTATTTTGTTATGAATATTACTTGGGCCATAATTAAATACGTGTATTGTATTCGTAGGGGTGTGGAATACGATGCTCCCGTCGCAAGATACTATGAGAGGTTAGCCGCAGTCCAAGCCAGAGGTTCTCAAGCGTCACACCAAGTGTTGCGTGATATCCTGAGAGAGGTAAACAATAAGTGTATTTTTTCTTCCAAGTACAGATAGGTCAATTTTCTGCCGCATTAGCTTGAAGGTTATTAGCAACATTGTGAATGCAAATATAGTGAGAAGAAAGCCAAAGAAAGACTCAATTATTTTCCCCTTTATCAGCGAACTATACAAATCTCGACTCCCTTGTCATCAAAAATAAACAAATCAAAGACCCTCTCCATCGTCTTTTGGTAATTACGCAATAATACTTGTACTTAGCGTCTTTTAAGACTTCCCTACCCTGTAAGGAAATCTAAGACATTGTGATTCTGACAAATGAGTCTCCGAATGGGTTATATTTTACCGGTTCCCTTTGTTTAGGTGCAATCGACAATGGTACCTAAAGGCATGGTACGGGAATGGGCGGCGGCGACATTCGCGGCGCCCACAGACTACTGGACTTTCCGCAAGATGATAACTTTGCAGCTTTCGCTCGCCAGCTTCGCGGAATATGTATTGCATTTAACACGCCTCAATCCCGACATGATGTACGTGCACCAAGACTCTGGATTACTGAACGTGTCGTACTTCAAATTCGACGTCGATGACACAACAGGTAAATAAGTTTGCAAACCACTGTTCTTTCTATTACATACGTATCTCCTTATAAAACCTAAATGAATGAATGACTGATCAGAACGAATGATGACTTAATAACTAGATTTTCCGTAAGACCCGGCTTATGCTAAGGAAATTTATTCTTAAAAATAATTTCTGACCTTTTTTCTGAGAATCCTGTGACTAGCTTTTTGATATCTGTAACAGATTCCTCCAGCAGTATCTCACTGCCTACACTTGCCTAGTGCGTTTATGGTTTTTGTAACGAAAGTTACGGTCTCATGTTTGTGTAATTGTATATAGATTAAGACAGGTATGGGATAGGATCGGTTGTATTTTATTCAAAGGGTAAATATTACTCTACAGTATGTAAAATATCTACGTATTTTCTTATTTGTTTTCCAACATTACTATCCATGGTAAATACCAATTCACAAAATCAATTGCTAGGAAAGTACATATAATGTTTTAACAACTACAAGTAATTATTCAATATTTGAAAAACATATTTCGTAGTTTTTATTTGTTGATAAGTGAATAGTAGTTCGCATAACACAACCGTACAAAAATAAATATTGATTTCTTTCGTCTATTTGAATATAGCTAAAACTTTTGACGGAGGATAGTACGAAAAAAGCTCTGAGAAATACTGCCGATATATGGGATGGACAGTACCCTGTTGCACGATGTGCTGTCCGCTTATGAGAACTGCACAGAATGCGTACCATGGCTGTCAAGCAAACAAGGATGCATATGCAAGCAATCAAGTCGGTCTGCAAACTCTTAGTCACATTTATAAAAGATGATTGCGTGATAAAAGGCTTACAATTGAATGCGAAGAAAGCAAAGATAACGGAATTTAAAAGAGATCATACCAGAACAAATGTCTGGAACTGGTATCGGTTGATTATGTAGTGGTGGAACGAGTGTAATCGAGAAGTTTTCCCAACGTTCCAACGTTGGGAAAACTTCTCGAGCAATAAAAGAGCTTCTCTTTATATTTCATGATACGCTTGATTAATTGGATGTATTAAGAGTAAGAGTTTGCGGACTGATTCTTATCGCTCATTCCTGCGATATTACATTAAACTAGTTCATGTTTGGTCACATTGCCGCAAGAAATCGCATCACAACAATGCGCATCACAACTTTCTGCGTTGCTTATTTGTATTGGGCTAGTTTGTAAATTTGTGTACAAGCTCTAACAGTTGGTGCAGCAACAATTTGCTGAATTGTCACATTATCGTCATACGAGTGACTCGGCCCTGCCCCGCTGATATCATTTAATAGCTGCAGCGATTATATTGTTTTCCTCATTTGTTGCTAATTTATCACAGCTTGATAAGATTCTGCGTTCCATTAATGGACCTAGTTTTGCGTCTATTTATAGAATTTTACTATGTAACAGTTGCTGATGATTCCACAATTCATTGATTATAAAAGTTTATAATATAATTTTGAGGAATAATAGCAAAATGAGTATTTTTTTTATATCGTGGACGATATGCATATAACATAACTCTCTTTTATGTGTTTCTGAGACAGGAAATACTTTTATTGGTAACATACTACATAACAGGTTTCAATTCCATCACTTGATGACACGATGAATGAGGATTTAATATGAGCATATAACATGAAACGCTTACAACCAGTTTTAAGCGACATTAATGATACAGTTTATCAAAATATAAAATCGTCATTATACTTTAATGGATGTTTGTGCAACGTAGACAATAAGATTTACGTTATTGTCTACGTTTTGTTGATGTCATTTAATATTGCGTTTTTTTCTTATTCTTTCCAAATGTAATTTTTTTTTTCTTTTCTACAGGAGAATTAGATGGAAATAGACCAGTACCATTCCGGTTGACACCGAATATTTCAGAGTTAATAACATCAATTGGCATTACTGGTCCTCTCACAGCCTCGGCTATAGCTGTAGCCAGATGTTTGGTCACACCAAACTTTAAGGTATAAATGTATTTTTATAAATGTTGTTGCTTTTATTTTTATTAAACCTAAACTTTAAATAAAACTTGTTTGAAATACAAATTTTTATTTTATTTGTTGGTTTAAATGGAGTTTTATTACAGATACAATCGATACTGCGTACCATATTACGCGATGAGATGGTAACGGGATATAGAAAGAGATTAGAAGATAAATCCGGGCTACCCACGGCGGGCACTTCTGCAGCTGAAAATAAACCTGTGGAGATGGATAACGAAACTATTATCAATATGGTTAACAAAGCCGTTACTGTAATTATGAGCCGACTCAACTCATTGGCTACATTTGACGGACCCGACAGTAAGGTGGCGACACTAGTCACAGTTGCCAATAGTTACGACAATATCTGCCGCATGGACCCCGCTTGGCATCCTTGGTTATAATTTATTACTGGTCCTTCGAGCTGGATATTCAATGTCAATGATAATTTAGTTATATTAAGTTTAATACTGTAAGTATTTTGATATCATTGGTAATTGTAATATTTCTACAACATACAGAGAAATGTAGTTTATTAAGTAAAAGAGTCTCTTTAGCTTAAGAGAAATTATGTTAGAATATCCCTCTTACGTATTGTATTATAAACATGTGATTCGGATATCGCCGACATTGTGATCTCCTGTACTGAAAAATAAATTTTAATGATATTATTTTTGTAGTTTAATTTATTCGTAGTAATGTAGCTATGCAGTGAGTAGGTGCATGTGTATGAGTGACAGAGTACTTGTACAGGTGAAAGTACTGGCAGCATTAAACGCAGCTAACGAGACCCCCCCACCCTCCGACGCTCGTACCGCTCGCCAATCTCAGTCAATCGTTAGAGATAGTAAAACTGATTTCATCACGCTAACAATGGGAAAGAAAGTGTAGTTTGTAGGATAGAGCAGGAACTGCATATTCAGCTGTGCTGTGTTACATACAATGCGGGATCGATGCGTTACTGCTAACGCTTCATTCATTCGGTTTGTATTATTTATTGTAATATGACAATAGTTGTCACTATGGTATCTCCCACACATATAATAAAGTCAATCGATCGAGGTGCAAAGTGTAATGTGGGTTAATTAGTTGCGGTTTCCTAGAACCGATGAAAATGTTAAGACGTAAATTTATCTTATGCTAAGTAGACATGTCAGTCTCGGAAGACTGTTTAGTCTCAATTTTAAAAGTAAACTTTGCTCATACTCAAGCCTCTGTATCTCATATTGGTTTATTACGTAAATGACGCAAAAAAAATTACATTTTCGGAGCTTTTAGTTTGATATAAAATTTTTTACTCATAAGTCTGCGATCGTCTAGACTCGACGACACATTAGGCGTGAAATATGATTGCTCGGGGAGGTGTCACCGAGTGATCCAGGGTGGTCGGCTGGAGGCTGTAGTCTCGTCGGGTGGTGGCGGCGGCGTCGCGTTGCTAGGCGGCGGCGGGGGTGGGGCGGGCGCGGGGGGCATCGGGGGGACAGGGCGGGCGCGCGCCGCCGTCGCTCGCTCGCGGGCAACTCGCGGCCTGCTTCAGTACAGTCCGCTCCGCGGCGTCGAGTGATATGCTAGTGTGACGCGAGTGTCCTCTCGCTCGAGCGTCGAGTGTCCGTCCTCTGCTACTGACCGTTTATGACATTCGACAACCCCGCCCCGGTGCATTTTTCCAAGTTGCATTTCGATCAGTGTGTCTGCCGCGAGCGATCCGTATCGGAAGCGGTGACTCCCCTCGCGTTTATTTATGTTGTCGTTTTGGTGTGGTGAATATTTGTGTTTGTACGGACGATAACCGTATTATCTGTGCGATCGGAGTCGAGTGGATATTTCCGACGATCGACGCTTAATTCGCGAAGGTGAGTTGTATACTTCGATTTGGCGAATGTCGGTTCTCGGTTGGGACGTTCGATTCGCCGCGACGTGGCGGCTGTCTCGTCGATACGCTTCGGAATGTCGTGAGCGTAGTGTATGTCACGATCGCTTGCAAAAATTATAATTCTAATTTGCTCGTCGTTATATTCTTATAGAACTATTGACTCCACTTCGAGTCGTAAACTACTCACAAAAACAACAATACATTCGACTGGTGTTGTTATTCGTAGCTATGACGTCATCGAACAATTATTTTTATTAGAATGTTTAGGACGTAAAAAAGTTTTCAAATTTACGGCGAGGTAACAACGCCTTTTGGAATCTTATTAGATTCAGTCCTATCCCACTATACCATATGGTGTTCGAAATCGAATGTATAAGAAAACATGGAGGAGAGCGGGCGTCGGCGCGGGGTGGAGCAGGCCGGTCGGCCGACCGCATTCCATATGGAATACCGGATAATACGCAATGTCAGTGTGACTAGAGTCAGTGCTGTCTCCGATATATGTACAACATTTGCAACGACTATACCTTTGTTGAAGTACTCTGCTCGTGTGTTTATAATTAGCTAATTGTAGGTATGGGTAGGTACTCGATGAATAGCGCACTACCTCACCCAAAGAGATTCGTTTGTTATATTGTACATCAATGTATGCATTATATATATATATCAGAACGTCAAAATGCGTCTGCCACGTGTTCCGATTAAACCTATTAGTTAAGTTGTTTTGTTGGGTAATTCGACTATTGATCCGATTATACCATACTAAACAGTATACCAGACAAAACAATCGAACTGCATAGTTGGGTACCTTAATGGTTTTGAGATTAGAAAGTACCTATTTTGAGTTAGACTATTGGCTGGCTTGAATAAAGGTTTAGTTTCTTTTGACCTTGAAGTCGGAAAAATATAGTGGTTATATTTTTATTATTTAATCCATGTGGACAACTTTCAAATGAGGTTTTAAAAACTCTACCTATGACAAAGGTGCCTCCAGAACATAATGCATAAAGGATTAGTGTAGAAACTAATTCTCAAAAATATTACCTTCAAATCCATGGGTAGTTTTTGTTTCGCAATTTGATCTTTTTATTAATGGGTGTGATATTATAACCCGTAGCAACTTTGTCATCTAGTGCCTTTCTTTTACTGAAGGATGGATGTTAGCTTCATCAATTTATAAGTTTCTTTTGCTATCCTGAATAGTTAGCCGTTCGATACTTTGACGAAACAAAACACGTTTAACTCGATGTCGAGATCAGCACTTTTACAGCATAGAGCTTAATGAAAATAAAACCTTTATTTCATTGAAGCTCTATTGGTTATATTAGACTAAACTTCTAGACGTTGAATTCGGAACTGATTTTAGAAAAGCACTGCAAATCATTATAATTACTTCCGCGGCCACGAATTGTTTTTTTTTTTCAAAACACGGCTGTAGCGAAGATAGTAAGACGTTGATTAAGATTCCTTTGAAAATCTTATTCTATTCTATTTTTTATTGATGGCAAATAGAGCCGGTGTCGACGTTTCTGCCAATGTCGGATTTGTTTGATTGTTCATTTACAAATGTCAAAATTATCTTAGATAACTGTATCGGTAATAGGACTATTTACCAATTACCGTCTAAGATTCAACTAAATCATCTTGCTTTATGGTAAAGTATGAAAAAGCATTATGCGAAACGCCAAACTATTAGTTTTTTTGTTAATTCGCTGCCGCATGCGAACGCGTTTTGCTAAAGGCGAAAGTGATGTAGAATTACTGAATATAGCCAACATAGGTACCTATAAAAATTTACGATAACATTACTAAGTAGTTAATTAAAATTCAAATCGTCAACTACTTAAAGAATACCTATTCGGTCTTCTTACCGTGCAAGGTGAATTAACTTGAGTAAATATTATTATTATAATTGGATAATTTCCTTTCAGGATTGCCTAGTCCATATGTATAATTTTAAATCATAAAAAGTAGTTTACAACCAGCGGTCCCTTATATAGAGATAAATTCAATGTATTGCTTATTTATTACAGTTATCACCCATATAGGGCTCTAATCGTGGAAGTTATCTGTGTGACATTAGAGTGAATCTGGTGTGGAGCGAATAATGAGTCGATAGTGCGTGCTATATTTCGAAACGCGTCCGTCGCCATTTCCGCCCTGTGACCCACAATATACGAATAACTTTTAGGTGTATACTTACAGCGAGTGATTTCTTAGTTTCAATATAGTAGTAGAGTTATTATGATTTCATTTGTATGACGCCGTGAATCTTCTGTGTTTATTTATTACTACATAAGTATATACACAGAAAGACGGGCAGATGTTTTTTATAATCATGCCACTTGCATTGAACAATGTTATATTAATTTGTTGTTTGTGTACAGTACGAAACCCCCAAACATTATTATTAGAATATCTAAAGAAATGGTCAAATAAAACGACACCGCGCGTTACCGCTTTGGTAACAAGCTTAAATTTTATCACGAGTGTCCGGGTCCCGGGTCAAATTTACACAATCTCTGACCTTTAATCTCCTTTTAGATATCTAAAACGCGTTCCTTTGTGTCGATTCTCGGAATTGGTGTCATAATCTCATTGTTTATTTTATTTACAGTTTAATGTTCTATGAAATATTTACTGCTGGTTCCGACATTAAACACAAAATGGTGGTCTGACGAGATTACAAAAGGAAATTGGTCCTTTTCTATTTAAAAGGAAAATCTTTTGCTACGTGGCAGTAACCGTTTTTTTATGATAATGCTTTTCGCCAGCGGCATCGTTCATGTGGCCTGTATTTAGTGTCCGACCGAAGCTTCGGCTTCGGATTCGGCATCGGGCACCTTCGTCCAAAAAAAACATCTTCGGCGAAACCTTTCGCCGAAGGTCCGAGCTACCGACGAGATTGAATGAACTGTTTCGAAAGACTGAGTGAGAGAGCGATGGACCGGTCGTGTTGGCAGAGGCCGCGGGGAGTCAGGGCGCTTGTGCACTACAATGAATTTTCAGGGCCGGCGGGCCGACTTTTTTCGGTCCCGAATGACATGAAAAACTCGGATGAGTAGCTTGTGCACATGTCCGTTTTTTCCGGATCGGAGCGGCACATTTTAGGGTAGACACGTCACTACACGTCACTTACAATAGGCACGATGAGATTTTTGAAACGTTGGTAATTGCTTGCTCTATTACTGTACGTGCGAAGACGTAGAAGACAGGAAAAATATCTTGGCACAGGCTAGCATTACCTACATATGGCCTGACATATCAGGCCGGAAAAAATCGGACCGCCGGACATGAAAATTCAGTGTAGTGCACAAGCGCCTTTACTGTCAAATCTGTATTTCTAAATCAACTTCTATATGAGACGACAGTCAATATAACCTTCAATATTGAAGTTTTGAAATAATTTTAATATTAATTGTAGCTTGTAGACAATATTGAACAAAATTAATTACTGAGAAATTATAAACCATCGGCTTCGGCTTCGGCTTTTGCCGAAGGTTGTGGCGATTGCCGATTAATCGGCTTCGGCTTCGGCTTCGGCCAAAAATAGACCTTCGGTCGGACACTACCTGTATTTTACATATAACCTTTCTCTTGAATCATTTTGTATATTGATGAAAACCGTATTAAAATCTAGTAGGTATAGACCGCTGGAAGCGACTATGTATAAATTGAAATAAATATCCAAATCAGTTACAAGATACCTATCTACTCGTCATAACACTCGCGCGGTGCTATTAGCATAAATATAAACGTGAACACATTTTAAATAAACGGTTTTTATAAATGTCAAGACTGACATAATCCCGTTGTATAAATAAACTTGCGTCTTGTAATATTTTCTTTTTTTGTTATCATTCTTTCATTTACTTTGAAATTTTGCCTGTCTTTCACATAGGCAAAATATACAGCCAAGACAAAAGTAGATTCTTCTATCAATTTTTTTGTTACATGGAATTCATAAACAATAAAATGTTGTAAAATAATTTAAGTTTCTTTTTTTATTGAATACGTTTAATTATGGTAACCTGCACGCGTAGCACGACGAACGCGAGAACGTTTTGTCTACACTCAAATGTCACTTTTCTCGGGTGCGCCCATACGATATCTCACTCTCGACCCGAGAAACTAACAAATTAGTGTACACAAAGCGTTCCTCGAGTTTGTCATGCTACGCGTGCAGCACAAACTTTCGTATAAGTACTGAACGAATACAAGAGTTTGGATGTTTTTGTTGCCGATTCATAATAACATTTTTTCCTTGACATTATAATTGACAGACATCTTTTATACTTAATGCAAAGTGCTTAGAAAACCCACTTTGTCCCTGGCACTCTGAGATGGGACTCGAACCCATGACCTTTCGTAATCCGGATGACTGCTCTAACCACAGCACTGCCCAGGGACCTAAAAGGATGGATGATCAATTTATATTGTTTTGCCGTAGCAAATTGAAATAAAATGATTACTTATATTAAAAATAATCATTTTTCCGTATCAATAAAGGTCAACGGAATCCTTTTAATATGCCCACGCCGCCTGCCTATCACTCCTTTTGAACGTTATACACAATTGACAATTTTCATTGAGTACGGTATCATTAAGGCTTCCATCGTGTCCTGAAAAACCATTTAGTTAAATGTCACGACGTTTCCCATTTTTTTTATGCGGTGATTTTGCTCTTATATTATAGATTTTGCGGTATATTATAAAAATAACTGTTGTTTGTTAGATTTTTTGTCGTAAATACTTTAAGCCTTTTATGTACTCGTTTTTTTATTTAACTATCTATGAAAGTTTCTAAACCTAATTTTTAGAGTTTTTATGGATTTTAAAATGTATTATAGATTTATGAAATATTAGTTTGAATCTTGTCTAATCTGCGATCGGCTGAAGATCATTCATTAATTTTGATAGATCAATCGGGGCTTCAGTTACGCATTAGAGCTGCGGTACTAAGAACTAGTGTCCAAAACC